TGGTGATACCCATATCCTTGGATCAAATAAAGAAAATCTCTTCTGGTGTCATTCTGGTCCAAGCTGACTAACTCAGCAGTGAACATGGATTTAGTTTTGCATTCTCTATGACTCTGTATATCTTTGGACAGGTGCTTATTGCCCCTCAGCTCGTCAAACTTCTGAGAATGTTAGCCATGGCAACTCTCCAACATTTTCCCCTAAATTCCTACCTTCCTCCTTATTGCAATGTATTTACTTGTCCAGTTAAGTAGCTATCTTTCTGTTAAGATTGACCAACCTTCCCAAAATGCACAAACCTGACTGCCCTGGTCAACCCATTGTCTCCGCCTGCTCCTGCCCCACCGAACTTATCTCCACCTATCTCGACTCCATTTTCTCCCCCTTGGTCCAGGAACTCCCTACCTACGTCCGTGACACCACCCACGCCCTCCACCTCCTCCAAAACTTCCAATTCCCTGGTCCCCAACACCTCATCTTTACCATGGACATCCATTCCACCTGCATCCAATACACCTGCATTCCCCATGCAGATGGCCTGAAGGCCCTCTGCTTCTTCCTATTCCACAGGCCCGACCAGTCCCCCTCCGCTGACCCCCTCATCCGCTTAACCGAACTCGTCCTCACCCTCAACAACTTCTCTTTCAATTCCTCCCACTTCCTACAGACAAAGAGGGTGGCCATGGGTACCCGCATGGGCCCAAGCTATGCCTGCCTCTTTGTAGGTTACATGGAACAATCCGTCTTCCGTAGCTACACTGGCCGTAAACCCCACCTCTTCCTCCGTTACATTGATGACTGTATCAGCGCTGCCTCGTGCTCCCACGAGGAGCTCGAACAGTTCATCCACTTCACCAGCACCTTCCACCCCAACCTTAAGTTCACCTGGACCATCTCTGATACCTCTCTCTCCTTCCTGGACACCTCTGTTTCCATCTCTGGCAACCACCTGGAAACCAATATCCATTTCAAGCCCACCGACTCCCACAGCTACCTAGAATACACGTCCTCCCACCCACCTTCCTGCAAAAATGCTATCCCCTGTTCCCAATTCCTTTGCCTCCGCCGCATCTGCTCCCAGCATGAGGCATTCCACTCCCGAACATCTCAGATGTCTTCCGCTGCCTCAGTGGTCGAGAACGCCCTCAAACGTGTCTCCTGCATTTCCTACAACTCATCCCTCACACCCCCTCCCCGCAATAACAACCAAAACAGAAGCCCCTCGCCCTCTCATACCACCCCACCAACCTCCGGATCCAACGCATCATCCTCCGACACTTCTGCCATCTGCAATCCGATCCCAGCACCAAAGACATTTTTCCCTCCCCACCCTTATCTGCTTTCCGGAAGGACCACTCTCTCGTGACTCCCTTGTCCGCTCCACACTCCCCTCCAGCCCCACCACACCCAGCACTTTTCCCTGCAACTGCAGGAAGTGCTACACCTGCCCCCACACCTCCCCCCTCACCCCCATCCCAGGCCCCAAGAAGACTTTCCACATCAAGCAGATGTTCACCTGCACATCTGCTAATGTGGTATACTGTATCCGCTATTCCCGTTGTGGCCTCCTCTACATCGGGGAAACCAAGCGGAGGCTTGGGCACCCCTTTGCAGAACATCTACGTTCGGTTCGCACTAAACAACGCCACCTCCCAGTCGCGAACCATTTCAACTCCCCCTCCCATTCCTCAGATGACATGTCCATCCTGGGCCTCCTGCAGTGCCACAATGATGCCACCCGAAGGTGGCAGGAACAGCACCTCATATTCCGCTTGGGAACCCTGCAGCCCAATGTTATCAATGTGGACTTCACAAGCTTCCCTCCCCCTACCGCATCCCAAAACCAGCCCAGCTTGTCCCCGCCTCCCTAACCTGTCCTTCCTCCCACCTATCTCCTCCTCCCACTTCAAGCCCCACCCCCATCTCCTACCTACTAGCCTCATCCCGGCCTCTTGACCTGTCTGTCCTCCCTGGACTGACCTATCCCCTCCCTAACTCCCCACCTACACTCACCTTTACTGGCTCCATCCCCGCCTCTTTGACCTGTCTGTCTCCTCTCCACCTATCTTCTCTTCTATCCATCTTCTATCCACCTCCCCCTCTCTCCCTATTTATTTCAGAACCCCCTTCCCCTCCCCCATTTCTGAAGAAGGGTCTAGGCCCGAAACGTCAGCTTTCCTGCTCCTCTGATGTTGCTTGGCCTGCTGTGTTCATCCAGCTCTGCACCTTGTTATCTCAGATTCTCCAGCATCTGCAGTTCCTCCTATCTCTGTGATTATTACTTTGTTGTGTTTTCTCCTGGTTTTTAGAAGAAAGACTTAAGTCATTGCTGCCTGCCCTTTGCTGTTTGCATTGAATTTACAACACAAAAACAGTCCATTTTGCTGAACTGATCTGTGCGTTTATTTGTGCCCCACATGAGCCTGCTTCAATCCAATTTTGTTTGAAGTCAGTGAACTTTCAAACTGCCATCAGAGGAGCTTGTGCTGTACCACTTGAAATTAACAAAACAATGCACAGTGTACAACAGGTGAAAGCTGTAATTGCATTTCATAGCTATTTTCAATCAACCATTAATACACCTGAAGACCAGGTGAGCTTGAATGCTCTGGCTGACAGCGATACTGCCACTGTACCCCAAGCCCACCTAAATGTTTTTAATCAATTTTCTCAGGGCAAGTGGTTCTTGAACCCGGATCTTTTTGCCCAGAGGTAGGGAACACTACCACTGTGTGCCACAAGAGCCCTTTTGTTTTGCATTTTACAGATATTTTAATCAATCTTCTTGGGCATGTTATGACACACTTCTGGAACAGGTGGCATCTGAACCTATGGCTTCTGGTTCAGAGGTAGGGATCACTGCCAGTATGCCTCAAGGGCCCTTCAAAGGTGAATGCCAGAGATGGGATGTTGGTTAGCCTTGTCCTAATTGTTTCCCACAAATTGGCTAATTGCTGCTTCACTGCTACTCACTTGCGATTCCTGCCTTTGATCACCAGCAAAATGATAATTGTCTTGGAGGCACATTAATGGAGCTCCTTCAGCCAAAGAAGCTTGTGAATGCTACCTACTGACAACTTGAGATGGACTAAGCCCAGATAGTATTATAATCTGTTGCAGCTGAATGTATAAGGATGCTAGGCAGACAACCTGCACTATAAGAATCTGTGGCTTTCTGTGAAGGAAGAATTTGAAGTATAGATGCAATACAGACTAAAGTCAGAGACTGTCTCCCCATTTACAGTCATGTCATGCTGCTATCTTCTTCCAGGAACAGTGAAAGCAGGAAGCTGTGCAAGAAGATGAAAGTGGAACCAGCCTCAAAGAAAAATGGCGTTGAGTTGTTGCATTACAAGTAAGTAGAGTCGAAGTCCGTTAAATGCTGAGGTTTAGTACTTCTAGCGGGACCACTTTTATTGAAATTTTGGTGACTGTTGCATGTTGTTTTCTGCTGAAGCCACAGATTGTCCTCTGACTGAGAGCAGCAGATGGGTGCCTTGCTGTATGATTTCCGCAAGTGTTGTTCTGAAACCAGCTGCTGGGCTACAGTTGCCCTTCCTGTCTTTTTTTTCCTATCTTCCCAGCTTGGCACTTGCCCATATCAGCATAGCTGAACAGTACGTTTACGTTCTGGCATGTTCTGCTGTTTGCTCCTGTAGTTTGTGTTTTTATTTGGAAAACTTTTTCTTTGTTGTTGACTGCCTTGTATAAAAATCACAGTATTCTTCTTGGTTGGTAGCAGCTTTAAAGCGCTTTCAAAAAGAAACATTGCATCAATATAGCACCCTTCACAACTTCAAGACCAAAGTGCTATTCAAGTTTAGTCACTGCTCCAAAATAAAAAGTGCAACTGCCAGCTTGTGCACAGCAAAATCCAACAAACCATCTGATCGTTGGTTTTGCTTGAGGTGTAAGTATTGATCAGGATGTGCAGAACTTCACATGTTCTTCTTTGAATAGTGCCACAAGGTCTACCTAAGAGAGCAGGCAGTGTCACCACCACCACCACCGGCAGCACATTTCAGGCACTTACCACCCTCTCACATCTCCTTTGAACTTTTTACCCCTTTTTACCTTAAACTTATGTCCCCTAGTAATTGACATTTCAACCCTGGGGAAAAAGATTCCGACTATCCGTTCTCTCTCAGACTTTTGTAAAATTCTATCAATCCGCTCTTTATTTTGCTTTCAAGTGAGAACAAACCAAGTTTGTCCAATCTCTCCAGCTAATACCCTCCAAATCAGGCAACATCCTAATAAACTATTTCTGTACCCTGTCCAAAGTCTCCACAGCCATATACTAAATGTAGCCTAATAAAATTCTATATAGCTGCAACATGATTTTACAATTTTTATACTCCATGCCCCACAAAATGAAGGCAAGCATACCATATGCCTTCTTGACCACCTTATCCACTTGTGTTGCCACCTTCAGGGAACTGTGGACCTAGGTCCTTCTGTATGTTGATGCTACTTAAGGGCTCTGCCATTTACTGTATACTTCCTTCCTGCATTAGATCTTCCAAAATACATCACTTCACAATTGTCTGGATTAATCTCCAACTGCCATTTCTCCGTTCAAATCTCCAGCCTCTCCTCTGGCAATCCTCCTCACTATCCTCAGCTTTCCCAATCTTTGTGCCATCTGAAAACTTACTAATTGGCCACCCACATTCTTTTCCAAATAATTTATAGATATTACAAGCAACAAAGGTCCCAGCAGTGATCCCATGTAACATCACTGGTCATAGATCTGCAGTCAGAAAAAAACTCTTCCACCACCACTGTCTTCTATGACCAAGCCAGTTCTGTATCCATCTCAGCAGCTCACTACAGATCCCATGTGACTTCACCTCTTGTATCAGCCTGCCGTGAGAGACCTTGTCAAAGTCCTTGCTAAAGTCCACATAGAAAGCACTTACCACCCTGCCTTCATCAATCACCTTTGTTACTGCCTCAGAAAACGCAATCATGTTTGTGAAACGCGAACTTCCCGCACAAAGCCAAGCAACATATCCCTAATAAGCCCAAGTATCAGGAATTATTAAAAACATTGCTTTATTAAAACTTTTTCCTCTCTTTGTCTGCTTCTATCCTATATTTAATTCTGCTGGGCTAGCAGCTTCCTCTGCCCAACACCACCTTACTTGTCAAACTTAAGCATAGATGATGCATATTAGCGTGATCTTCAGGCATCATGGTCGAGCTCATGGAAGCGCCAGCAGCACTTGCACTTGCTGTAAGGGTATTTGAAAAATAGTCACTCGCTGAACAAGGCATACCTACTGCTCTGTCCTGCACCTAGCCCAGGAACTGTGTCCACGGTAATTGTTCTCTTGCCGACCCAACTGGTAGTCACATTTATGGTGCATTAACATAATTTTGGAACAAACGATAGTTCAAAGCAAATCTAGGCCACCTTGTTGTGCTGGCTGTTGTGCAAAACTGGTTGAATCAGTACTTGCCATTCTGATGGCAAGATGTATGTTTCTGTGTCTCTTTAATTAATCTCTCTGTTTTGAAGAGGACAATGCAAGGGAGAGTGCTTTGGCTTTTGAGGGGACAAGTGTGTTCATATTTGTGCTGAAAGATACTAATACCTGAGTGTTTCTAATTGTATAGGGACGGAGCTTTCCACGTTGAATACGAAAGGCCTGAAACGTTCAAGGTAATAATTGTCTGTGCCAAGTGTTTGTGGGTTTTTACAGTGATTGTTACTTTTGTTCACTCGTGGGAGGTGGGCATGGCTGGCTGGGCCAGCAGTATTGCCCTTGAACTGAATGGTTTGTTCTAGGACATTTCAGAGGACAGCTAAGAGTAAACCACATTGCTGTGGGTCTGGAGTCATATGTAGGCCAGAGCAGCTAATTTTCTCACCTGTAGGATATTAGTGAACAAGATGGGTTATAGTTATGTGGTTGTCTTCAGACAAATTATTTTATAAATTTCAGATTTGTATTGAATTCAAATTTTTCCATTTTCCTACTTGGGATTCCAACTTATTTTCCCCAGAATATTAGGGACATTGAATTACCAGCCTAGTATCGTCACCACTATGTTCCAGCCTCCCCTTAAAGATTAATTGAACATTGCTTTGTTTTTATTTGCTGTGTTCCTGGCTATAGGTTTGGATGTGCTGTGCTTGAAGGACAGCAAAACCCTCAAGTGCTTGGCCTTGCCTTTGAAAATAGTTTTATTTTGGTCAGTTTTCCTCCAACATATAATCAGTTCTTAGATGTGTCAATCTTTCTCTCATTGGAAAGAATGCAGGTAAATATGCAGCAATCCAAAAGATTCCATGCATTCTATGCACCGGTCAGTCCTTCTAAGTTGCGATTCCACAAACCTAGTAAAACATTAGAGGGTACCTTAATGATAACTGTAGCCAAGGGGCTCCTTTGAGTATGAGTCTGCTTCAATTGCAGGTTACCGTGCTTAGACTGTCTGCCATGAAGCCTGTTTCCAAGACACCCTGCACTAATGCCTGCAGACATACACAAGCATGTATGTATGCATTGCACAAACGCTCTCAAACCTATCTTTAGATATTTTGAATAAATCTGTTCAGAGATGTTTTGACACACTTCTGGAGCAGGTGGGTACCTGGCTCAGATTTAGGGTCACTAGCGCTGTGCTACAAGAGTCCATCAAACCTACCTTTATTGCTAATCCCTGAACAATATTCATTTGAGAACAAGGAATAGTAAATCATTTTGGTTGACATTTCTGAGTTAAGTATTGTATATCCTCAGTTACCCTCCCTCTATTTTTTTTGTCAGCATTGTAATCAACTGCTGCTGCAAACTATTGTGGTTTGACTCTCAATCACTTCCCAATAGTACAACTGCTTGAGCTGCATTAAAGAATAAAGTATTCCATCCAACAGTGGAAACATCTATCTTAACTATTATGCAAAGCAGATATACATTCCTGTATACAAGCAGCTGGTTAGAGGAAAAGTGTAAATTTTCATTTTGAATCAAGTCCATGAGAAGTGTTCAGTGGAGCCAGTGCTGTAAGCTGTTTAATAAACAAGGATGAAAAATAGTGTGTGCAATCAAGTCCAAGTCTCTCCTATTCTCCCTCCAACCACCTAGAAAGAAGTAGACATGGTTTTGGGTTCACACTCATTGAGTTACCTCTTGTGCCACATGCACTTTCTCCTGAAAGTGTGGACCCTTGCCAGGATAAGAATCCATGTACAGTCTTCAGAGAACAGACCCAATTTGGCCGCTCTTGCCATGAATCTAGGGCAATAAACCTTGGCAGCTATTCAGCCATGAAGTGTATTGCATTTGAGCCTGACCTTTTCTTCCCTGGCATCTTCATGTGCGCTGTATAGCAGAAGTCTCTGGACATGAAAATAAAGCTAGTTGTTCTCTCTTCCCCCATCCACACCTGACGCCAGTACCTCCACAGCCCTGACTCACTGAAGCCAGATGTTACCTGGCCTGAAATCAGCTAGTTTGATACAAAGTGTTTTACTTTATTTGTCTTTTTTGGGTATAAATTGGAATATTTTATAAGCTACACAGGGGGTCTCCTCATGGGAATTAATGCACCCTAGTATTTAAAATAAAGTGATTCTGTAAAATGGACTATGAGATGCATAATGTAAAGATCTAAAAGCAGGAAGTGTTGAGATTACATTCCCCTTTGTGGTTGAAGAGAAGCCACAGATCATACAAGTGGGTGTGTTTTGGTTAACCAGACTCTTTATGCAGATATACATAACCTTCCTGTAAATACCTTGAGGGCATGAGTGAACACTACATGCAGGAGCAGGCCCACAGGAAGGTCTTATGACCTGCCAGCCCCATTTTGCAAGGGTGCTGAAGGATCAGGAACATGGGGCTAATTGCTCAAGTTCCATTTCTTTAATTTCTGTTTTTTCCCTTTTATATTCCAGAAGTGCTGTTGCACACAATTGATTGTGTTTTTCCCATCAGCCTATCACCCCTAATATTTTTCAGTCTTTTAGCCACCAATAAATGTAGGGTATGCAGGGTAGTTTGATCTTAGAGTAGGGTAGTAGGTTGGCACGACATCGTGGGCCGAAGGGCCTGTACTGTGCTGTATTGTTCTGTTCTATGTTCTATGTTCTAAGGCATAGAGTTTCCATCGCAGTCATTGCGTAGCAGGACTTGAGGTAAACCAGATTGGCTTATTTTGTTTCAGCAAGCCTAGTCAAATGACAATGGATCAGAGTGATTATCCAGCTTCAGTATCTGCATTACATTTGTTCAAAATCTACAGGCCTCTACTTTCCCGAACATCAGATTGCTTTTTAAATTATGTACTTCCTTAAATGATTTCCAAAGGTGCCCAGGTTGTAATTTTATTTTGCATGCAAATCACTCATTGCATGAAAGGCCTCCTGTTATCACTGCTAAATTGGCCTTTCGGGAGTTCTTGTGTTCTGGCATCCAGTAACCTTCCCAACCTCCCCCTTTCTCAGTGATCCAAAGTTGTGGTTTTTGAAACTGTTTACAGTCTCCTGAGTCAGAGTTTTAAATCTTTCTGTGTAAACTAAGTGGTTGGATTTCTCTCAGGGGATCCAACTCCCTGGCTGTTTTGTGCAATGTTTGTGAAGGTCTGCTGGTCTGGCTTGTCAGTGCACTAATACCTGGTGACGGGAGAGTGGTGGTATTCACGTTCTGGTTGCGGGCTGTCTTGACAGCCATAACAAAGGTGACTTTCTGGTAAAAATGAGCAGCCAAAGCCATGCTTCCTTTTTGTACTACAAATCATCAATTCTTCTTGCAAAACAGACCGCCATTTTTTGTCACTTGGTTCAGCACTTGGGACTGAACCATAAATAGTTTTCTCTCTTCTCTGGAGGAGGCAGTGTTGGAGAACTGGGAGAAGAGAGTGGAGAAATAGAACAAAATCTGATGCATGCATTTCTTCCTAAAGTGTGCCTGATTTGTTGGCCTGTTCTAGTTAATATCGTAACGGTGGATGGAATCTCCTGTCCCTGTCCCTGTCCCTGCCACTTTGAGAGGAACCTTTTTGAGATCAGGGTGGAAGAAGCATATTACCATGAGCCTAAGAAGTTTTAGATGCACATCTTTTCATTTCCTTTAATCGTCTGTACCACTATCAATAATTTGTGTATTCAGAACTGAGATTCTACTCCTCAGCTTAGACATTTAAGAGCTTTGCACTCTTTCTGATTGTTTACAGTCAATGGTGGCATTTATGAGGGATCCAGAGGGCGCTCCATTGTGGGAAGAGAATCCTGACGCGAAGGATGTGGTTCACATTGACAGTGAGAAGGTTTGACACTATTCGTGATTATCGACTTAGCTGGGAAATGGGATTCTCAATGGTGATAACAATACTGTTTTGTTTTGTTTGTGTATGTGGGATTGCAAGTCTGTCAATGTTATTGATTGTAGCATAAAGGAAATGTAATGCTTGCTGCACAATGTGGGCTTCAATTATTTTAAGTTTTTTTGGAGGAATTTTATTTTCATAAACACAACTGTATAATTTGATATTTTAACGTAATGATACAGTGTAAAATGTGAAAATCTGACTCCATAACCCAAAGTCTGACAACCCTAGAAAGTCACAACGAAACAATCACAGAACTGCCGAGATTTGCTGCACAGCAAGAGGATGTTCAGCCCTCTGTGTTTATACTAGCCCTTGCTAGAGCAATGGAACTAATCTCACTTACCCTGCTCTCCCCTAAAGCTCCAAATCTTCCTCTCCTTCATTTCATGCAAAACATGGACAAAGCAGCCAGCTTGGTTGGCACCACATCCACAAACATTCACTTCCTCCACTACCAAAGCTTAGTAGCAGCTGTATGCACCATCTGTGAGATGCAGTGTAGGAATTCACCAAGGTTCCTGAGGCAGCACCTTCCAAGCCCACGAGCATCACCATCTAGAAAGATAAAGCAGCAGACGCATGGGAACAATGCCATCTGCATGTTCCCCTCAAGCCACACACCACCATGATTTAGCAATGTATCACCATTCTTTTATTGTCACTGGTCCAAAATCCTCGAACTCCCTCTCTAATGGCAGTGTAAGTATGCTGATCACCGCTTTAGTGCAGCGATTCAAGAAGGCAGCTCACCACCATCTTCTCAGGAGTAATTGAGGATGGGCAATGGGTGCTGGCCCAGCCAGGTCACCCACATCACCTGAATCAGCCAAAAAAAAGGTCATTTGCTCCTATGATGCTGCTTGGCCTGCTGTGTTCATCCAGCCCTGCACCTTGTTGTCTCGGATTCTCCAGCATCTGCAGTTCCTACTATCTCTGATTCAATTTTAACCCCACTGCGAAGCCTCTTCTAAGGATGCCTAGCCTGAAGAAGTTGCCCTCCTCCCTCCGGACAAACCTCAGGGGATCTCTCTACCACTGCAACTCTCCTATTTATTTCAGAACCCCCTTCCCCTCCCCCTTTTCTGATGAAGGGTCTAGGCCCGAAACGTCAGCCTCTCTGCTCCTATGATGCTGCTTGGCCTGCTGTGTTCATCCAGCCCTGCACCTTGTTGTCTCTCATTTGAAGTAGTATTTGTTGTGGAAAATTGTGCCCAACAATATCCTGCTGAGCTCAATAACCAAATAACTGCAGATGTCTGAAATCTAAGGTAAAAACAGAAAATACCCTGCAGATTAGATGTCACTTATAGAGAGAAACTTTTAATGTGTCAGGACGATGATGACCCTTTATCAGAACCTGTTCATGACAGCATTTATGCTGTTCAAGACCCCTCCCACCTCTTCAGCGCTGCTTTCAGATGATGATCAACAAGCTGCCAGTGCTTGCAGTTCTATGGAAGAGCGCAATTGAGAATAAAAAAATTTCAATGATTCCCAAAAGGGCTTTAAAGGGCAAATTTCCTTTGAGTTCACTGTGCCTAAAACAAAATAAAATGCTCTCTTCACAACCCAAGTACAGAACATAACACGGTCACCAGGAAGACAAGCTAAATAACTCCTTAAGCAAAATCTGAGAAGCCGTAGAAACTGGCCACAGCAAGTGCTGTTCAAAGCCACGTCATACAATTTCATTTGAGCAGTCTTTTTACCATTCTTGAGCTCCTTATCAATAATGAATCCTTCCCTTTGAAATTGGATTAGCTGTTTCCACATGTAAGTTTCACTGATACTTCTATTTGGGGTGAGAAGCAGGGGATCAATATCTTGACATGAATGCAGAGCTAAGGCATATATTACTTTCAGGATAGAAAGTTTATGTTTACCTTGCATTTATGTAGCACCTTTTAAGACAGTAAAACATACACTTCAGAGCGTAATCAGACCAAAAAAATGACAAAGCTAAAGGAGGAGACATGAGTGCAGATGGGCAAAAGCTTCAACAGAGAGATGTAGAGAGCTAGAGAGGTTAGAAAGGAAATACCATAGCTCAGGTTTGAACAATTGAAGTCTGGCAGCCAGTGCTGGGTTAAGGAAATGAAGGCAGGTTGAGGCTGCTTTGAATTGGAGGAACACAGTGAAGAGTATAGGGAATTCAAGTTACGGAGGGATCAAGCGAAGAAAGGGTTTGAATGCGCAGATAGGATGTTAAATTTGAGGCGGTAATTTAGTAGTTATAGGAAGTCATCAAGCAACGGGATTATGAGTGAATGGGACTTAATGTGATTTAGGACATAGCAGAGTTTTGAATGAGTTCAGGTTAGTGGAGGATGGAAGATATTCCTCAGAATCCCTTAAAGAGTCAACTGGAAAGATCCAGCTATGATGTGTCTGCACCCCTCTCTAACCTGCTGCTTTAGATGAGTGCCAATACCAGGACTTGGGTGCCAATTCTGGTGCTTGAACCCTAGTCAGTATTTTAAAAACTCAAGTCCTGACTTTTAATGAATTGTATGTTATATGTGTTAGCATTGGGTCGGTGGTAGTCTCTGCTCTAAATCTAAAAGTTCTGGATTCAGGATCCCCACATCTGAGATTTGAGCCAGCTATTCATGATGACACTCCCCATGCACTAGTGGAGGAGCACTGGTGCTGGCCTTTGGATGGGATGTTAAACTGAGACCTTGCCTGGCGTCTCAGGTGAGTGAAAAAGAACGGGTGAGTTCTCCCTGGTGCCATGGACAATATTTATTCTTCAACCTGCACCTAAAAGGATATTATCCGGCCATTACGAAAGACAGGGGAGTGATCTCTGGATAACACTATGCCTCGGCCAACATCTCAGAAAACAGATTATCTGTTTTATTCTCATATTGCTGTTTCTGGGAGATCGCTGTCTGTGAATTGACCATCATGTTTGCTGCATCAATGACCATACAGCAGAAGTGCTTCGTTGGCCATAAAGTACTTGAGTATTCTGAGCTCTTGACTGGTTCCAACTGTGAGAGAAAAGAGGCATTTATAATGGGGGACATTATCCTGATGATGTAATCTTGTTGGTTATTGGGAGTTCAAATTACTGGAGTCAAATGGACATCAGGGTAAGTGACAGTTTTTCTCCCAGCTCAGTGGTGGTGCAGGTTCTCATCATTCAAACTATCTGTAGGGGTCAAAGTCCCAAAGACAGCATTGTGTGGGAAGAGTATTGTACAGCCAGGAGCAAAATAGGCAAAGTGTTTCTTTGAAGTAAAAATAGAAAGTGCTGTACATGCTGGTCAACAGTTGAAAGAATAAGATTTATGTTTTGGTGCATCCCTAAAGCTGTACTTTTATTGGCAGGTTTCTAGCACTTGGTACTTTTCTATTTACTTCACCCCTTTGACCTGGGTGAACAGGAAGGATGCCAAACCCTGATTAAGGGATTGACAGCCTGTGCATTAAGTGGCTTTTTTCAAATTTGGAATTCTGAAGTAGGGGCTATCCTTTTCTTCTCTTCCACCCCCCTGCCGCCTGGTTTTGTGCCAACAGGGAAATTACACATTAGCTGGAAGATGTTTTCTTTTAAAAAACACTTTTGCTATTTACCTTTCTCATGAGATGCTTTTGATTACACTCTTCCTAACAGCATCGAAATCCAATTCATTTGATTGTTAACAGGATCTCGCTGTATACAAAATGGCTGGTTGGCTTGTCAATGTAGCAGTAATAATTGCATTTCAAAGTTAATTCATTACATGTTACTTGCTGTGGTGTGTTTTTGTGAGATATTTTATAAATGAAAAACTTCTTTTTGTCTCCAATTCAACCACCTTTAAAACAGTTCAGCCATTTTCTGGTTTCACCCACGTCATTAACCATTTGGGTATTGTGGGCCTTTATAGCTGAAACAAACAATACAATAACAAAGTGTCACATCAGACCAGAGATTCCTCTTGACCTGTGAAGAAATGTTATTAAAATTATCCCAGTCCAAAACATCAGAGCTGCATGTTGTCAATTCTGCATATATAAAGTAAAAGGTGAGATTATGCTCAGAATATTTAGACTTTTTTTAATTCATTCACGGGATGAGGGCGTCGCTGGCTAGGCAGCATTTATTGCCCGTCCCTAATTGCCCAGAGGGCAGTTAAGAGTCAACCATGTTGTTGTGGGTCTGGACCAGACCATCTCGACCAGATCAGGTAAGGATGGCAATTTTCTTCCCTGAAGGACATTAGTGAACCAGATGGGTTTTTCCGACAATCGACGATGGATTCATGGTCATCATTAGATCCTTAATTCCAGATATTTATTGAATTCACATTCCATCATCTGCCGTGGCAGGATTCAAACCCAGGTCCCCAGAACATTATCTGGGTCTCTGGATTAACAGTCCAGCGATAATACCACTGGGCTATTGTCTCCCCTGTTTTACCAAGTTGATGGGTTTGAAAGCTAACAGCAATAAGCAGTGTTCTGTAAGGATTTTTAAAATGGAAAATTGAAAAAAATTAAAACAATTTTAAATAATTTTGAATAGTCATATAAATATGTACAAAAGAGCACAGAGCAATGCTGTTCTTTATTTTGAACGTAGCCATTTGCTGAATCATTCAGGAAAAAACAACCAGTGATATGTTCATTCTGTTCTCCCTTTATTGTCAATTTTCTGACTACAGGGTGAGGAAATACATTCCAAAAATGGGGGGACTTTTTTTTTTTTTTGCAGTGCAATATTTTTTCTAAGTAAGAGTTTGTTTTTATTTTAACAGAATCCTTCCAGTGGCTCAAGAATTCCAGAGCTACCTCCCAGCCATTGAATTACTGTTTTGAAGTGTAATCATTCTTTGCCACAGGCAAATGTGACATCCAGTTTGAGCATCGCTTAGTCCCACACACAGCAATGTGAAAAGTGATCTGGAATCTGTTTAAGTGCTATTGCATGAGGTTTAAGAGTTGATGGCCAAGGCTTTCCTACTCCTCTTCAGATAAAACTAGGATCTTTCAGAACTCCCCTCAGTAAGCTGTCTTGTTTGTCCAGTGAAGCAAAAGATATGCAACTCTCGGCAGTCCAGCACTGTGCCAGTACTGTACCAAAGTGAACTGTTTTTGCATTCAATTTCTTTAAGACTGCAGGCTTCCTGCCTTTCTCTCACTTCTGGTGCACTGCTCTCTGATGTATTGCCTAACTTTCTATAGTCATCTTATCTGCTTTTTCCTTAGGAATTCAGAAAGCTGGTAAAGAAGGAGGAACGACCGATTCTGATGATTTTCTACGCCCCGTGTAAGTTTTTTTTCTGTGCATGCATTCAGATTCTGAGCCAGTCAGGTGTAACATTACATATTTATCCCACTCGCTGTACAGTCCATGATTGAGGGGATGAGTGGTGACATGTTGCAATTGCATGGAAAGTGGGGCTGGGGGACAGTGTTACAGGACCTAACAAGAAAACTCACTTTGTATGCCATCAGTCAGAAAAAAAATCAATCTGAAAGGCCACGTACAAGGGTCTTTACAAAAAGAGGGATGTCAGGAGACATCTGGGATAGATGGAGTGGGTATCGACCAGGATTCTTCCACCTGACTGCCATGCAGTAAAAATGGCAAATGTTTTTGTGAAGACAGAGTTGGATTCTGCTGTTTCATCCTTGCCACCCAGTGTCAAATATCATACCATCATACACAGGGTAGTGGGCATATTTTCTTTTCCACCAAACACCAGAGCTGGGCTTCATTTGAAAATTTCAAGACAGATCATTAGATTTTGTTAGCCAAGAAAATTAAAGGTTGCAAAACAAAGGTGGGTAAATGGAGATAAGATACAGGTCAACCAGAATCTAATTAAATGACAGAAAGGGTCGAATGGCCTCTTGTGTGCCTGTGTTTCATTGACTCGCAAGGATTGTGCGTGAATAGTGACTGCTTTTTTGGGAATACAAGGTCCCCTTTCCTGCATTATATGGGTCCACACTAAAATACAGGAGAGAAAAAGAAGCTGAGTGAAAGGAATTCACATTAGAAAAAGGCTCCATGCTATTTTTGCAAAGAATACTTTTTACACTGTTTGCACTGCTGCAACCTCTGATGGTAATGAAGCAGCAAGATTCCTCTCTGCCTTCTGTTACTCAGTCAGTGTTTTGTTGCTTTGTGACTTATTTTCATTCTGGAATAGCTGCTCGTGCTTTTGTGTTTTTATCTTCAAATTGTTAAGAATCTGCATAGTGTTTATTGAGTAACGTGAGTGCTGCAAGAGCTTGCGGTACTTTATTTTTGGTTTCTTTTAAATTGTTGCCTCTTTCCCCCATTATGCAATTGTAATCTGATTTAGCCCCTAAATGCTTTCCTCTCTTTTTAACCCCACGCCTTTCCCACCCACTGCACCTCAACCTCGTAGTGGTAAGGATGAACCCTGCATCTGTTTATACTTCTGTCACATTTTTGTTAATAAAGATCCTGAGCATCAACTCATCTACAACTCTGTAGTGCACTTTCATAAATGTATTCTCGGGCTGTGCAAAGTTCAAAGGCAATATAAGGCATAGTCATTCGCAGTTTAACGAGCATATGCTGTTCTGCATTGATTTAAAGAGGCGCTCAACGTTTTCTGGCAATCATGCTTTTATCGAATGAACAGAACAGCTTGCTAGAAATAGATATGAAACACATTTCAGAAACTTAAAAGAACAAAAGGCTGGAATTGCGTGGTTAGTAGATCTTCTCCGGGAGAAAGATGGGTTAATTTTTCAGGTATAACCCTTCATTAGGACTGCATTGTGAACAAGCCTAATGAGATAAGCTGCAACCAGATCGTCAACCAACTGCATATTTTCTGTGCTTGGTTTCCGAGTGGCAATACGTTTTAGGCTTGCTTTTGATGTGTGCAAAACTAAGTGTGATGGGTCCCTTGTACTAACTTTTCATGATTCCATTGCAAGGCAAGGCTTGGACATAAACACAAGGGAAATGATATTGAAGTTGGCTGATGAACTAAATGTAGGAAAGAACAATATTTCTATAAACCTAAAAACAAAAAGAACATGCTGGAAATGTTTGACAAGTCATCTACAAGGAGAGGCATAATTAACATTTCAGGAATTGTCCTGTGGAAGACCTAAGCCAGCTGAGCAGAATGGGCAGGTAGGTATAGATACAGATAAAGGACTGGTACATTTTTTGGAAAGGGATAATGAAAGAAGGAACGCCCTGACTAGCAAGAAAGTTGACAAACTGTGTAATCTCAGCTATGTGGATCTTTTCAAAGGTGAGAAGTAGATGAAGCCTCTGTTAAAAAGGAAAGTAGGTGTCTGAGAATGACAGAATATAGTGCAATTCTGGATTCGTATGAGGTGCTTAATAAAGAATGTTAACAACCATGGAAGATAAATAGCTAAATCATATTGAATGACAAGTAATTGTGTGAATGCAAATCGCTGAATTTTGAAACCAGAACAAATGTGGACCTTATTCATTGGATTAGTGAAGGCTAAAACAGAGGCAACTGATTAAGGTGTTCAAAATGATGGAAAGTGAATAGTGAAAAACAGTTTCTACTGATTGGGGAATCATGGAAAAGTGGGTTTAAATTGAGGACAAGGACTATAAAAGTGAGTCATGTAATCTTAAACCACAAAGAGGCCATTCAGCTCAATATGTCCATGCCAGCTCTTCGAAAGAACAGTCTAATTTAGTTTCACACCTATCCTTTGCTTTCATCCATCTACAGCTTGACTCGTTTCAATAAATACCCAATGGCCTTTCAAAAATTCTTGTGGAATCTGCTTTCACTGCTCTTGCATATAGTGTATTGCTGATCTTAATCCTTTGTCCCACAACATTTTCATTTCTCCTGTTGCTGTTATGCCAGTTATTTTAATGTGTCCTCTCATCACAAGTCCCTCTGCCAGTGGAAAGTGAGTGAGGCAGGGTCATGATGGTAATGCCACTGGAATTCTATTCTAGGGTTAATATCCTGCGAACGTACATTTGAATACCACCATGGCAGATGGTGAAATTTTAATTCAATAAAGTCTAGAATTAGAATCTGCCCTAATGGTGACCTCATTGCTGCTGTTAGTTATCCGCTACAGCCCTTGTCCAATTGGTTCACAGCTGTACTTTAGTGAAGAAAATCAGCCATCCTCATCTAGTCTGACCTATCTGTGACTCCAGACCCATAGCAATGTGGTTAACTCTAACTGCCTTCTGAGCAATTAGGGATAGGCACTAAATGCTGGTCTAGTCCGCCTTGAAGAAATAAGGAAAACAAAACTATTTATTCCTACTCCCACAATCAAAGCCCCATGAATTTTTTGCCCCTATTAAGCCACTACCTCTTATTTTGTGCGCTAAAAATAACTCATTTCCCCAATCCACATTGAATAGTGTCATGGATAGGCACTCAAAATAGAATTAGGTACCTGAAACAAAATACAAATGCATATAAAGAGAGGTTGAGGGAAAGTAATTGGATTGGACAGTTTCGTGTGAAGAATGGCACTTGCTGAGCTGTAATATGTACGTATTGGCATCTGGTGAAGTGATTTGTTAAATCTGTCATTGACTTATTTAGTACAATGCTTATCTCTCTTTCTGTTTATTGTTCTGCTGATGCCTTTGACCTGCCCTTTGCCCCACGTATCAGGGTGTGGGGTGTGTAAGCGGATGATGCCAGCCTTTCAACAAGCTGCCACAGAGCTAAAGGGCACCCATGTGAGTATCACAGTTTCACTGGTCTATTAAAAAGGCACCATGCACAGAGATTTTTTGGTTTTTACTTTGTGCATAGATCATTATAATTGGATGTTCAGTTATGATTCAGTTATCCTGTTCAGGTTTCTCAGTCAGTTGGACTTCTATTAGCATGTGCAGGAATGAAAGCAGTAATGAAATACACAGTCCTGCTTCATTGTGTTTAAGACTTTGAAGCCCAGGAAGGAAATGCCGCACAGGGTGTCATCAGTCAAGATCATCCTTCACAATGTCATTTCACATTCTCTCCGATTTGAAGTCGGCATTTGTGTTGCAGCTGAATTGCATCAGCATTTCTTTTGCTCGGTTATTCCCATATAAGACACACGTTTTGAGCTAGCAAGAGCTGGGTTTACTGATTGTGCCCTGCAGAGAGACCTCCAGGATACAGACTGCCCCACTAAAAGCGTCCTCCACTCCACTCCACTCCACTCCACTCCACTCCCAGCACCTTTCACCCCTTTTGTCAAGTCTTGATTGATCTATAAACCAGACCCATTCGTCTGTCTCTGTGCCTCCAGCAAATGCTCCTGTTCTCGAGACTTCTGCAGTATCAGCAGTGATCGTGCTCTCGGTAACACTGCTGGGACTGAAGAGCTGCCTGAAATTGGCCAATAAATATTCGGAGATTGGATCATTGTCTCCCAAGACCCAGGAACACTGGTGGCAGACAAAAAGCTACCTAATTGGGATTTAATCCCATCGAGGGTCTCCAAAATGCCTGCATCAGTGTTCCCAGTTGATCGGGCCAAGGTTGCAGCCATTAAATTCATCCAAGTTTGGCAAAGTGAAGCACTTTCAAATGTGACAACCCTGTTTAGATGAACTAGCAAATACTACCTAGTGCTTTCAAGCAGCATCCCCAATACCCACGCCTGACTTCAGTGTCTCATAATGAAACAGCCCATGGTGTTACAATCCAGTTAATGGTATTACTAGACAAGACAGATCCTACAGTGAACTTTGTCTTGATGGATCATATTTTTAAATTTTGTAATTGGTAACATGATGGTCAGTCACTGAGATTTCAGATGAGACTGCTGATGACCTTTTAATAAACTTATGTTTTGTTGTTACACATAAGAAAATAAAACAAACAAGGCTAGGCATATTATAGTAAGAAAGATCTCAACACAAACATCAAGACAAAATTTCAACCTCTCCCAAAACTATTTGTTACAGTGACTCAATCTGAGAGAACTATCATTCCTCTCTCAGATTTTTAAATCTTCCCTTAACTGACACTTTCCAGATTTTTTGCTATGGATGGTTGCGACCATTTTTCTTTTATAATTCTGTTCTGTGTCCACTTGTATGACCCCTGCTCAATTCTGATGGCCTAGTCTTTTACAACTCTAATCACTGGAAGATTTCTATCCAAACTCCCGGAGCTTAGAAGCTTTGTGGACTAGAAATCACTTCTGCTGAGGCAACTGGTTACCCTGAACTGAACTGAAATACTTCTTTCTGATCTTGACTGTTGATTCTTTTGAACCAAAACTTTGAAACTCGTGTTTTGAACCCTCTGTTTACTCTGTCTTTTATTAACACAACGTATAAACATCTTATCCATTAACATCAGTGGTGGTGGGGGGTGGGGCGGGGTGGGGAGAGGCGGTGGGCGGTGGGTTCTGTGAGGCGGTCAGCTGAAGCCATTACCTTTTTAGCAATGATGTGTTCAGACCGCTTCTACAATAAAATCTTGACCTTTTGCTTTTAAAAACAGAGCTAACCAAACTCTTGCCCCTATTTTAAAATTCACCTTCCAAAAACACCTTTTTGTCACAATGGCTTGTTTAAAAATGACTTGGATATTGTCCCAATGATAGATGACAGTTGACATTTGCACCTCTTAAGCGCCATCTGAATACTAGTGTAATCTCCAATCTTCCATTGGTGCTGAATGGCATTTTCCCCCACTATCAACATGGGGAAAATCATTAAGCAGAAACTCAACTGGAATAGTCACTCAAATTTTCTGGCTATGCTACTTTGTGTCCAGTGGCTCACCATCTGCATCTTCAAAATTTCTCAACCACTCGCAAGGCAAAAGTCAGAAATGTATTTAAGTAGTCTGCATTTGTCAGAATAGATGCAGCTACGTGTTTAAAGAAGCTGAAAACCATCCAGGACAGAGCAGCCTGGTTGATGCGCACCTCATCCATCACCCTTAGCAATGGTGTACTGTAACTGCTGTGCAGCAACTCACCAAGGCTTCTTTGGCAGCACCTGTCAAACTCATGACCTCCATCATCCAGAAGGACAAGGGCAGCAGGGCGCCATCAGTTTCATTTCTCCTACATGTCACACATCATCTGAACCTTGGGCAAATGATCACTTTTCTTTCTTTTCCCTCACTAGAACTGTGCCCTGTGGAAGCATCTTCAACAAATAGACTATACAATTTCCAGAAAAAGACCAGCCATCAACACCTTGAGGGCAAACAGGGATTGTAAATCCTGTCCTCATCAGTGATGCCCACATCCTAAGAATATTTTGAATAGGCGGCATTCATCACATTGCATGTCCACCAAGTCAACGCTTTAAAAATGAAAGTGGGCGCTTATCTAATATTGGGCAATGGTAGACATTTTTGCATTGGAATGAATGGCAGGAAAACTAAAAATAGCGAGGCAATAGTCATGACATGCTATGTTGTAAATTGACTAATTGCAATTGGATTTCAAGTTGAAGTGTCAGCTCCATTTCCCTGTCCCCTCATGATAAAGGATGTGGTCATTGACTGGGCAACAGCAGCCAACCAACTAGGAATTGGAACTTCTGTGTTATCAGCAGTCATAAGGAAGCTGTTAATAAGCACCATAAGATCTCAACCACTAATTATGAACTTCCTTTGCCGTATCCCACAGCTGCCTATTGTCACTGTTTTATTCACAACTTCCCATACGCAGCTCCACGAGCTCAGTTTTGGCCTTCTATCTGGTCTTTTTCCATTATGGGTCATGTAGCATCACCCAGTCTGTTCGATGTTTGAAGCAAAATAAACAATTGGGAGTTTTAATTGTTAGTTTAACCTAGACCGAACAGAAATATTTTATTTTGAGTTCAGGTTTCTGGGACTAAGAGTGAACTAGCTCCTCACCAGATTCCTCATTTTCATAGAACTGGACATTGCAACTTTTGGAACATAATTCAGGAAAAGCACCTATTCTCAAAATAATTAGGAGCTGTTTGCTATAAATTCATCTTGAATTCATTAAATACACAGTCATTTTCTACCAATGATTTATAAATTCTAATGCTAACTGTTTCCTGAATAGGTAATGGCTGGAATGAACGTCCATCCTTCTGAATTTGATGAAATTAAACAGGAATTTAATATTAAAGGATATCCAACCTTCTGTTACTTTGAGTAAGTTGTTGTTGATAAATCTTCAAGGTATATTTTGAGGTCGACCTATCAGATCTAAACAATCGTGCGATTTTGCTCTTGTGGGCAACTTAACAATAATTCTGTAAAATGGAAGAGCTTGAGTATGTGACATTTATAGATTGACTGTCTTATTGAGGTTTTCTTTGTCTTTTCTTGCTTTCCTTCCCACGCACTACTCAAAGAAAAGCGTGCCCAAAAATGTACTGGCTACTAATTGGCAATGTTACCTCCTTGCATTCAGTGTAAATAAAGGTTCCAAAGATGCTGGACGGAAGGATAATTAGGCAAAAATGGACTATGACAAAAAATAAGGTAGCTAACAAATTGGTTAAAAAGTCAAAAAAGGACAAACCGAAGGTTGATGTGGTATGTTTCACAATCCCATTGTGGGGCTGGAGAAGGTTGTGAAGAAGGGAAAAAGCAAAGCCAAGATGAAGATGTGAGTTTACATTTAAAGCACTGGGAACTAATGTAGGTCTGCAAGGGTGAGACAGTATGGGAAAGGATATGGTCAGTGGGGTTTGGATGAGAGGAGGTTATAGAATGTGCAGGATGATATGGCAGTCAAGAAAGTATTGAACTAGCTGTAATGGTGAAAGTGTACATGCAGGTTTAAATAACACATGGATAGAGGCAGGCGGTGTCTTTTTAAATTTCTTCATCCTTTCTTTGGAAGAGGGTATCACAGGCAAGTCCAGCATTTGTTGCCCATGCTGAAATCCTTGAATTGAGTGTCTCACTAGGCTGTTTCAGAACAGCACTTAAGTGTCAACCATGTTACTGGGTCTGAAGTCTCACATGGACCAGACGAGACCAGGTAAAAATAATGATTTCCTTCCCTAAAGAACATTAGTGAATCAGATGGATTTTTACAACATCAGTGATGGCTGTGATGGCCACCATCACCAAAACTAGGTTCATATTCCAGATTTGTTAATTGAATTTAAATTCCATCAGCTACCATGATGAAATTTGAACCCATTCCCCACAACATTAGTGTCAGTCAAGCAAAACTACTACTTTGCCACTACAACCCCACAAAAGAAGGAGGAAGTCAACAGTCTTTATGATGGGGAGGAAATGGCTAGCGACCTTGGGGGCATTGAATATGAAGAATTGGGTTTAACTTGAGAGTGTGGATGTTGGGGGGTTAAGTGGGGTCGTGGGGGCACATTTGGTATTGGTGGCCACGTATAGCAGCATTGTATGCAGTTTAAGTGATTCACTGTTTAATGGGAGTGAATTGACATTCGTCCAGGACCCCATGTTGGGCAGCAGTCTGACAGCACAAGATGATGGCAGACTGGAGAGATGGAGGAAACGTAGAAATGATTATTTTGAGTGGATTGACAGAATTGGGCCCTGAGTCTGCAGATTCTGTTGCCAAAGCAGCAGCATGTGGAGAAGAAAGGGAACCAGTGACAGATTCATGGAGAGTCCAGAGGCAATGCATTATAGAGCAGGAAGAGAAGACGCTATTGGATTTTACAAGGGTTTAACTAATCGTTTCCCTTCAGAATACTTGCAGATTGATTTGCCGAATGGAGATGTTGCAGTTGCATGTGGCCTAATTGAGTCCAAAATATATCATCTTGAAGACAGAAAAGAATAAGTCAGAAGAAGTAAACACATCATTGCCATAATGTATTCTGTGAAATAGTCGTTGCAGTCTGATTTTCTTTTTTAATTCTTTTTGTTTAATTTTCTATAATGTGATTTCAGACAATATGAGAACATAAGGTGTTTATATCAATGGAAATCTGGCTTTCTGTTTGTTCTCTCTACCGGAATTGTTTTCTTTTAAAATTTATTCTTTCACGGTATGTGGGCTTGGCAATGCAGGCAGTGCCAGCATTTATTGCCCATCCCTAATTTCCCTTAAGATGATGGCAAGCTGCCTTGATCCACTGCAATTCATGTGGTGTAGGTACACCCGAAGTGCTGTTAGGGAGTACCAGGATTTTGACCCTGTGATAGTGAAGGAACGGTGATATATAGTATGGCTTTCGGCGGAATGCACACACACTTGCTGCCTTGTCCTTCCAGTGGTCAAGGTTGCAGATTTGAAAACTGTTGTCAGTGGAGGCTTGATGAGTTGTCTGGACGAGCTGTTAAGAATTTGGAGAAGGAAAGTATAGGACAGATTACAAAAATAACACTTCTGCTGTTGGGAAATAAGCATTCTGCCCCTGTCTTTTCCTCCTTTTAAACTCTTTAATGATTAGCCTTTTTTAATGTAGAGATGGTCCAAAGTTCAAATAAGCTGGCAATTGTTGCAAACCCATCTGACCATCATGAAGCATATGGCTGGTGAAAAATATATCACTGGGTTGGTGTCTATTTGAAAGGACAATGGGTTTAATTTGGTTCATTAGTGAATGATTTCTGAAGTATCTCTGGTTCTCAGTGTATTTGCCATCTCTGAATGGGCCTAGCTTCTTATCCAAAGACGGTACAAATATTAAATTGCTGAAAATATTAAAATATTAAATTGGGGAAAAAAAGTACTGATTGTTGTATTTCATTTTTCTCCCATTTCTCCACTGAAGCCACTGTGAGCTTGCACCAGCGTGAAATTCAGCAGGTTTTGACCACCTCAGTGCTTAATCACTTAGTTAGCAGCCATTTCGTGAGTGTCATTACGGATGAGTTTGATCTATACTCCATTTCGATACCACATTTGCACACTTTGATTTTCCAGGTGGATGGGAAGAGTTGGGATATGTCACTAGGTTGCAGACTCATGAAAAGTTTAGCTTGCAAATCCTAGGGATGTTCAGGCCGATTGTAACACATTGAAGTAAAGCCTAAGATGATACAGGTTTGGAAGTTGTTTTTATTTGTAAAACCATGCTGCACAAAAGGGAGGCTGTTTAACTCTAGTCACCTATTTCAAGGAGTAATCCTAATAGTCTTGCCGCCTTTTCCTCCAAAGTCCTAAAAACCCTTTATCAATTGCCTTTTGAAAGTTACTAATCCTACAGTAGTCTTGATCAGGCAATGCATTCCATATTACATCAACTCGCTGTGTGGAAAATATTATCCTCATCTCTCTACTTTTTGCCAATTATTTTAAGCATGTGTTTTCTATACATCAACCTTCCTGCCAGTGGAAGTGTCATTTGTTCTTCATCTGTGCCATTTAATGTATTGACTGTCTCTCCCAAGTCTCTCTCGAACCTTTTTCTCCTGTAAGCAAAATCATCCCCAAGTCTCTCCACATGACTGACATTTTCATGCCTGATGCCATTCTTGTAAATCTCCTAAGACCCTGGCATCCTGCCTAAAGTACAGTGCACAGAACTGGTCACAATACTTAGCTGAAGCCAACTGGAAAGTGTTTTAGAAAGGTTGAGTAGTAACTTCCTTACTTCTGAACTTTGTGCTTCCTGTAAAGTTCAAGATCCTATAAGCTTTATAAATGGAGGGGGAAGAAAATAGAGAGAGTGAGGCACAATCATTATTTCTCCTGTTCTTATGAAGGGATCAAAGGGTATGGGGAGAAAGTGAGAGCAGGGTACTGAGTTGGATGATCATTTGTGGTCATATTGAATACAGGAGCAAGCTCAAAGGGCTGAATGGCCCCCTTTTGCCTTTTTTTTTCTTCTATCATCTAAATGGCATTTTTAGTGCACAGGTAATGAGAATTTGGCTTGAAAGTTAACTAGGAATGAATGGAATAAATATCTGCTCAACCCAACTGATCACTATTTGCCTTGAAGTTGTGCTATTTCTCATAGCAATTCATACTCCAAAATTTGATAGAGGTTCTGTGCTGTGTGTGAGGAGAAATCATTTGCATAGGACTATTTGACTGGGAAAAAATAATTTTTCGACATTAAACATGGCAATTACTGTTGGGATCCTTTGGGAATGTCGATGAACTTTAATTGGAATTTTGCCCAGACTGATTGCCATTTGTTAATTTGAGCAAATTAGAAAATGTTTCTGAAGTATATTTATATAATCATCTTTATAGTGTTTCTTAAAATTGATCACTGTAAAAGCTGTTTTAGAATTACCATAGCTTCCTGAGGACCTATTTAAAATTCTCTTCTCAGAAATTGCTCAAAGAATCATTTCACAGCAACTGTCAAATTATGAATTTTAAAGTGTTTTTTAAACACATGACTATCTTAGTTTCCTGTCTCTGGAGTTGAAAGTCAAACAGCCTTAACTTTTAAAAATTGACAAATTTAATTTACATGTACAATGCTTCTAACTGCTGCTTGTGAGAGTATCACCTTCTTTGATTCTTTACGAATGAATGTATAGCATGCTTGTCCTATCAAAGGTGTGATTTCTAAAGTTGGTGTAAATTGCCACTTCTATGCTTGCGAAAGATGGTGAAGTTATGTTGGGTTTCTTCATGGTTGTTTTAGTCCAAAGGTGTTCTCGCCGACTTTTAAGGATCTGAGGACACCCCAATGCACTTCGCAGCCAGTGGAATACTTTTAAAAGTGTAATTGCTATTGTAATGTAAGAAACAAGGCAGGCATTTTGTGCTAATCAGGATCCCAACATCAGGTAATGACTAGATAATCTGTTAGGTAATGTTGGTTGGAGGATGAATATCGGCCTAGATACCAGGGATAACACCCCCTGCTCCAATTCAGAAGGGTGCTGTGGAACCTTGTGTATTCACCCGAGAGGGCAGGCAAAACCTCAGTTTGGCGTCTCATTTTAAAGATGGCTTGAAAGGTAATTGAAGTCACCATAGTCTTACCAGATTATAGGGCTGCGCTCTCATTAGAGAGAGACAACTAGTGGTGGTTTAATTTGAGGCTTACCACCAGGTGGTGAGGGGAGAGGTTGAGAAGGAGCATTCTTCATGGTAACCCTCAGCTGGTGCAGGGATTGAATCCACGCTGTTGGCACTGCAAACCAGCCATCCAGCCAACTGAGCTAACCAACCCCCTAAGCCAAGGTAAATAGGAATGTATGGAATAACAGAGCAGCACATCTTCCCTATTGCATTAGATTGTTGGCTTGGGTTATGTGCTGCATTGCCTGGATTTGTGTAGTTGTCCGGTGGCTGACAGAGGGAGTTTTGCTTCTCGTCTCCTGGTTGTCATGGAGCAGGGAAGACTGTACTCTGTTGACTCAGTTTTCTCCAACCATTCAAGAAAGAGCCAAAATGAGTTTGAGGTTGAAAAGCTTTCATTGATTATCTTTTCCAAAAATAATCACCTCTTATGTGATGTATCAGAGAGCTGCTAGGCTTTCAGAACTGTACCTCAACCTGAGTTAACTCCCCTGGAAACAAAAGGAGAATGTCTGTCTTTTTTTTAATATATGTTTAAAACCTTCTCAGCGTTTGTTGCTTTAAGATAAGCCCTGGGGTTGAATTACTGCAACATTTGTTCGTTTGTGTTGTCAACAAAATACAAGTTTGAGGAGCATTTATAACCAAGGATCTGGATTTTTCAACGGAAAAAGTGAAAAATGAAATAATGACCGCTCCATTTTGTTGACACAATCACTGGACATTTTTGTGTGAAGATGTCCCTTCAGCCCATTTGATTCCATAATTTCAGACTCTCTGTCCTTCATTATTAAATGGTTGAATTATGGGAAATGCTGTACAGTATACACAATAATTAAGTTGTTTCTTTTTCTCTGATTTCTTTCAAAAGGAAGGGAAAATTTCTATTTAATTTTGAAAACTATGGAGCTACTGCCCAAGATTTTGTTGAGTGGATGAAAAAGTGAGTAAGATTAAGTGTTGTATGTATGAAGAAAATTACGTGTGCGTTATCTTGCTGACTCTACTACCATGGGTACAAAGGACAATTTTTTTTCACCTCAGGCTATTTTAGTGCATTGGGAATATAAATGCTTCACTGCATTGAGATTATGAATCCTCTTAAGGCAGGCTGTCATTCCAATTTTATTGGGCACATTTTCATAATAACTCAACTAAACATGTGTATGCTATTGTTAATGTCCTTATCATTCATCTAAACAAATATTTACCATTAGTTTATTGTCTGCAGATGTATTTTGTTCTTGGATTTGAGGGATCATGTATCAAAAGCTCCTTTGCAATATAGTCAAGTGCCTCCAACAAAAAAAAATGCGGGCTGCTTAATGACTGGAATGACATGATTTGTGTTGTGCTTTTATCTTTCTTGACTATACAAACTTCAGTATGACCAAGTTAAATACACTCAAACACAAGAAGAGTCGCCCTTAATCTCCTCTGCAAAGAAATGTGTTTGTTTTCAGGGAAGGGGTTGGCGAGGTTGGTTGGAGAACGAAAGGACATCAAACCGTATCTGGTAGTTGACGAATGGTTTGCACCATAGTTTATCTGATGTATTCATCTTTGTGACACAGTTGCATTTCTTTTGTCGCCAGACCCCAAGAAGCACAGCCCGAACCCCCAGAGATCCCATGGGCAGAGCAGGAGTCTGGAGTGTCTCATTTAACAGATGATACCTTTGATGGGTTTGTGAAGGAACACCCATCCGTACTCGTGATGTTTTATGCGCCATGTAAGTTGCAGTTTGAATGCAAGTTAGCCTTTACTTGCTGCTTATGGGCCTGTTCTGTGAGAACTATGGATACTTGAGGTTTAACCGCTTGCTTCTTAATTGCACCTTCACTCTGGAGCTTTCTTGTCAGATGTATCTGCAGTCACACTACATCATGTGGAGTCATACCTCACTGGAAGACAATGGATTTCAATGACAGTTATTGAGAATTCAACTGTTCTGAGACTCTGAAACTCCCTCAACCCATCACATCGGTTTTAGATACTCCTTATCTGCCCTAATATTGTCTCCATACATGGCTCGCACGTTCTATATTTTATACCAAACGTTCCTGTTTTCAGCTGACTTGGGTCCTCCGTAATATTTTTCTACTAAAAAGTTGCTAAGAATTACAGTTGATTATCTTGGTTGGAGTTTTGACCCCAATGGCTTTTCACAAAGGAGCCCCTTGCTCTGCTCCCAGCTTAAGCACTTTCCATTACAGGCTGTTAGGGGGCATTGCATTAAGAGCCACTCCATTTTAAGGATGCCACGTTCAGAAAGAGAGATGGCATGTAAGTTGCCAGGATTCAGTGTTCTGAAGCCCCATCAGATTTAATTTGATGCTCCAATGATGTCATTTGGCTTGTTTAATTACTTTAACACTGCTACACACCTAGGGTTGTTCTTGCATTTTGTCAGAAGCTGTTCTAGCAAGGACAGGAACGTTAAAGCAGTTGCTGCTTTTTCAAGCTTCGGGGAAAATGGTCAATTCTATTTTGGAACTGGAAAGCACCAGACAGCTTCTGCCCACACAGTTAACCCACCTGATTCCATCTCTTCCTCCATCTAAACCTTGCAGTTCTCTGAAGAGGGAATAAATCATTGAGCCAATATAAACAAAATAAACTCAGAATTTTCTCTGCAGCCCTCACAAATGTTCAAAGCTGTTCCAGCTAGTCACTGAGATTGCTACCACCAATGAGTTCTGTCCCTAGGCTTGTATGTATCTTTGGGATTATGTGGTTTAAACAGAATTCAGCAGAAACAAAGACCGAACAATAGTGATGCATAGCATCAAATCACCTTTATGAGCAAGGCAGAATTAGTTGTTAAAATGCTGTTAATAAACACAGCTCATTATTGATTCTCTATAATTGACATTCCATGAATTAAAGACATTTTGGAACTGGGCAGCAACATAATTTGCTTAATCTTATTTCGACAGGACTTGCTATCAAACCCAGCCAAGTCAATCTACCTCGGACATAAGTAGATAAGACATGACAGGGTTGGTTATCACTGTCTGTTATTTTGAGTTTAATAACATTTTGGCCTTTGGTGTTGCCAAGAGAAATGAGTTTTGGTAATTATCAAAATAGCACCCAGTGGATGTGGGACTGTTGCACAAAGCCACTTGCTCTATCACAACTCCGCCAGTGACATTACAATAAATTTGGACACATTATCCTTCCGTGTTCACTGACCATCTGTGCTCCAGGTGCTGTTTTTCTATTAAGGAAATAAAGTGCAGAGAGTAATGGCAGGGAAAAAAATTGGAAAGAGAAAAGACAGGCATTATGTAGACCATGTGGCACTGAAACAAACGTTCTACCCACTGGGTTCATGTCACCATTTTTGCTGTTCTTATGCCATCAAACCATTTCAGGATATGAAATTGTTCCTTAAATTCACCTGTGTTATTCATCTGAACTGTGTCTTCTGGTCATGAGTTTCACATTCTCAGCGTATTCTGCATCAAGAAGATTCTCTTGAATTCTCTATTGCATTTATTAGTGACTATCTTATATTTATAGATTCTCTTTCTGATCTCAACTACGAGCGACAAAAACTTTCTATACATCTACCATACTGATTCCTTTTATAAATTTATTTTTTTTATTCACTCTTGCAATGTAGACATCACTGGCTGGATCAGCATTTATTGCCCATTCCTAATTGCCCTTCAGAAGTTGGTAATGAGCTGCCTCCTTGAACCATTGCAGTCCCTAAACTGTAAGTAGACCCACAATGCCATTAGGGAGGGAGTTCCAAGATTTTGACCCAATGACACTGAAAGAATGATGATATATTTCCAAGTCTGGATGGTGAGTGGCTCAGAAGGGAACTTGCCGGTGATGTTTCCGGATATCTGCTGCCGTTGTCCTTCCAAATGGTGATGTTCATAGGTTCAAAAGGTGCTGAGTGAGAGCTTGATGAATTTCTGCAGTGCACCTTGTAGATTGTGTACGCCGATGCTATTGAGCATCGGTGGTGGAGAGACTGGCACTAATTCAGCAAACAAGTCCAAGTGGGCTGCTTTGTCATGGATGGTTTCAAGCTTCTTATGTTATTAGAGTTGCAGTCATCCACTCAATTGGGGATTTTTCCACCACAAACCTTGTTTGTGCCTTGTAGGTGGTTGGTAGGCTCTGGGAAATCAGAAGGTGAGTTACCTACCGCAGGATTCTTAGCCTCTGATCTGACCTTGTAGCCACAGTACTTTGTATGACTAGTCCAGTTGAGTTTCTGGTCAATGGTAACCCCAGGAATATTGATAGTGGGGATTCAGTGTTGGTGATACCATTGAATGTCAAAGGGCAATTTTTAGATTCTCTGTTTTTGGAAATGGTCAATGCCTGGCACTTGTGTGGCACAAATGTCACTTGCCACTTGTCAACTCAAGCCTGGATTTTGTCCTGATCTGTTGCAATTGAGCATGGGCTTCTTTAGTACCTTAGGAGTTACGAATGATGCTGAACATTGTTCAGTCATTTGCGAACATCACCACATCTGACCTTTATGATGCAGGGAAGGTTTATCAGATCTCAGCGCTGTTTTCTGCTTTTCTAAGAAAGGAGACCCAGCCACAGTGACCTCCATGACCATCACATGTTTTACTCTGAACCTTCTGTCCCAGAGGCAGGGACACTACCACAATTGATAGCTTTTTCAAACAGCCTACACAGGCAAAATAGTTCAAATGGCTGTTTCCTGTTCTGTGAGATTTTGAGTATCTAAATGGAGAGTTTTTCTTCCAATACTAGAGATCTAGGAACTTTGGTGGTCTATAGGCCACCAAATAATGACATCGTGGTGGGGTGGGCAATAAACATGGAAATAGCTAATGCATGTGAAATGGTCCAGCAATTATCATGGGGGATTTTAATCTGCATATCAATTGGTCAAACCAGGTTGGTCATGGCAGCCTTGAGGAGGGGTTCATAGAATGCATCCGTGATAATTTCCTTGAACAATATGTAATGGAACCTACGAGGAAGCAAGCTATCCTAGATCTAGTCCTGTGTAATGAGAGGAATAATTAACGATCTCACAGTTAGGGATCCTCTCGGAAGGAGCGATCACAGTATGGTCGAATTTAAAATACAGATGGAGCTTGAGAAGATTAAATCCAGTGCCTACGACCTGTGCTTAAACAAAGGAGACTATGAAGGAATGAGGGAGGAGTTAGCTAGGGTAAAATGGAAGCAAAAACTTTATGGTGGGTCAATTGAGGAACAGTGGATGACTTTCAAAACAATTTTTCACAGTGCTCAGCAGAAGTATATTCCAGTGATAAGGAAGAACTGTAGGAAAAGAGAGAGCCAGCCATGGATGTCTAAGGAAATAACGGAAAGTATCAGATTGGAAAAAAAACACATACAAAAAAGCAAAGAGTAGTGGGAAACTAGTAGACTGGGAAATCTTTAAAAGCCAACAGAAAGCCACAAAAAAAGTTATAAAGAAAAGTAAGATAGATTATGAGAGTAAACTAGCTCAGAATATAAAAACAGGCAGCAAAAGTTTCTATAAATATGTAAATTGTAAAAGAGTGGCGAAGGTAAACATTGGTCCTTTAGAGGATGAGAAGGCCAATTTAATAACTGGAATGAGGAAATATCCGAGCCATTAAACAGTTATTTCGTGTCGGTCTTCACGGTGGAAGACACAAATAACATGCCGAAAACTAATGGCAAGAAGGTTATAGCAGGTGAGGACTTAGAAACTACCAGTATCACTAAGGAGGCAGTGCTGGGCAAGCTAATGGGGCTAAAGGTAGACAAGTCTCCTGGCCCTGATGAAATGCATCCCAGGGTACTAAAAGAGGTGATGGGGGAACTAGCAAATGCACCAGTAATTATTTACCAAAATTCACTGGACTGTGGTGTGGTTCCCGCAGATTGGAAAACAGCCAATGTGACGCCACTGTTTAAAAGAGGAAGTAGACAAAAAGCAGGTAACTATAGGCCAGTTAGCTTAACTTTGGTAGTGGGGAAAATGCTTGAATCCATCATTAAGGAAGAAATAGCAAGACATCTGGATATAAATTGTCCCATTGGGAACACCCAGCATGGGTTCATGAAGGGTAGGTCATGTTTAACTAATTTGGTGGAATTCTTTGAGGACATTACTTGCATGGTGGACAATGGGGGAACCTGTGGATGTGGTGTATCTGGATTTCCAGAAGGCATTTGACAAGGTGCCACATCAAAGGCTGCTACATAAGATAAAGTTGCACGGTATTACAGGTAATGTATTGGCATGGATAGAGGATTGGTTGACCAGTAAAAAGCAAAGAGTAGGTATAAATGGGTGTTTTTCTGGTTGACGGTCAGTGACTAATGGTGTGCCTCAGGGATCAGATTTGGGACCTCAATTGTTTACAATTTACATAGATGATTTGGAGTTGGGGACTAAGTGTGGTGTGTCAAAATTTGCAGATAACACTAAGGTGAGTGGTAGAGCAAAGTGTGCAGAAGACACTGAAAGTCTGCAGAGGGATATAGATAGTCTAAGTGAGTGAGCAAAGGTCTGGCAGATGGAGTACAATGTTGATAAGTGTGAGGTCATCCATTTTGGTAGGGATAACAGCAAAATGGACTATGTTTTTAAATGGTAAAAAATTGCAGCACGCTGCTGTGCAAAGGGACTTGGGTGTCCTTGTGCATGAATCGCTGAAGGTGGGATTGCAAGTGCAACAGGTAATTAAAAAGGCAAATGGAATTTTGTCTGCCATTGCTCGAGGGATGGAGTTTAAAAACAGGGAGGCTATGCTGCAGCTGTCTAGGGTCCTGGTGAGGCCACACCTGGAGTACTGTGTGCAGTTCTGGTCTGCTTACTTGAGAAGAGATATACTAGCACTGGAGGGGGTGCAGGGGAGATTCACTCGGTTGATTCCAGAGTTGAGAGGGTTTGGATTATGAGGAGAGACTGAGTAGACTGGGATTATACTCATTGGAATTCAGAAGAATGAGAGGAGATCTAATAGAAACATATAAGCTTATGAAGAGAATAAATAAGGTGGAGGCAGGGAGGTTGTTTCCGCTAGCAGGTGAAACGAGGACTGGAGGGCATCGCCTCAAAATAAAGGGAAGCAGATGTAGGACTGAGGTCAGGAGGAACTTCTTCACCCAAAGGGTTGTGAATCTGTGGAATTCCCTGCCAGCGAAGTGGTTGAAGCTACCTCGCTGAATGTGTTTAAGACAAGGCTAGGTAAATTTTTGAACAGTAAAGGAATTAAGGATTATGGTGAGTGGGCGGGTAAGTGGAGCTGAGTCTCAAAAAGATCAGCCATGATCTTATTAAATGGTGCGGCAGGCTTGAGGGGCCGGATGGCCTACTCCTACTCCTAGTTCTTATGTTCTTATGTTCAATTTGCCAGCTAGCTGGATGAATGCAGCACTTTGGAAACAGCAGTTCGATCTGTTAAAACAAGCCTAAAATACCTCCACCTTTGTCCTTTATAGGGTTTTTAAATCCCGATTCTCTCAACTGTACTTGAACAGTTGACAGGTGCATGTTAGTCAGACTGTTTGCAGTGTTGAGGTGGCAGCTGGTAATTGTCACAGTGACAGGAAGTTATTAAACATGGAAATAATTGTTGAGCACAGAACCTATCTGATTAACACTGATGCAGTCAGCTGGCCAATTCTAACTAAAATGAGATTAAACAATTTGTGTTGCTATTTAGTTTCCAATTAAATTCATTCCTTAAATCATGGACTGTTAATTATAGAAGTTCAATAATCAGTATTGTGTTCATTAGCTGCATTTTAGTGACTTACTTTGTTCATTTTGTTGGCAAAGCTGACAAGAAGTACTTCACTGTATCTTCTGTTTGTTGGTCTCTATTGGGCCCTGTCGCTCATCCTTGAGAAAAATATAGTGACTTAAATTTATATAGCATTTTTCACGACCAAAGACATTCCAAAGCACTTTACAGCAAATGACGTACTTTTGAAGTGTAGTTATTTATTGTTATATAGGAAACGAGGCAGTCCAATTTACGTGCAACAAGCTCCCCAAAAGAAATATGATAAAATCCAGAAATTATTTTTTGCATTGACATTTGAGAGACAGCCAGCTTTGATTTTTGTGCTCCACGTCCCCGTGGTGAGTCTTGAAAGCCCAACCTTCTGACTCCAGTGAGAGCTTTACTGACTTTGCCATTGCTTTTCTGTAAGACCCTGCACTCCTCTTATTTTTCCATGCTGTCTTCCTTTCCCTATGACTTGAGCAATGCTTATCCCTCAGTTGGTACCTAATAAAAAAAAAAAATTGTTTTTTTTAAATCACATTGCTGCTTATGGGAGCTTTGCATGCAAACTGGCTGCTTTGTCCTTTACAGCATAACAGTGACTGTACCTTAGTAGTTCTACTTTGAGGCATCTCGTGATGTAGAAGATGCAGTATAAATGCCATACTTTTAATTTTTCATAACATAAGTGATGCCACTATGCTGATTATTTTTTCAAATTACAAATTTCAAGGCAGGATTTCTTTAGGATGGGAGTATAACTGACAATGAAAAGAAATATTTTTTAAAAATCGTACCTGTTTTTGCCTTTTCTGAAATAAATGGTAGGAACTGTTGATTGGGAAAATGGTAATTTGCCTGCCAACCCCATTCTTTCTGCCATCCATGTACATACTTCATTCTACACTCTACACTACCCACAAAATTGTGAACTCTATCCCACCAACTTCATCTGTTCAAGGAAAGTACTACAAAAATATTTGCTCATTGCCGCTGATTACTCCCAGATGATTTTTGAGTCTTTGCACCTCTGCTAATTAGCCCCGGTCTACAGTTGACCATAAATTGCATTGCTCTTCCAAGCTTAGTTTGTCACTGTCTTTTTCCCCCCTTCTTGGTACTTTGGTACCATCTTCTGACCTGTTAAATTTCTGATTGTTTTAAAATTATTAGAACCAGTCTTGGGTTAGTTTGCACGGTGAAATAATGACTGAGATGACATGCTCTGGAGCTTTAGTTCTGAGATGAGTACATTCTGAATTCTGTTTTTGTTTCCAAATCTGTAGGGTGTGGGCACTGTAAAAAGATGAAGCCAGAGTACGAGGAAGCTGCCGAGATGTTGAATAATGAAAGTGATGTAAGGAAATGTTTGTGCTTTCTTTCAAAAAAAAAGGACTCTGGGTAATCCAAGACAGAGGACAGGAAAAAGCTATAGTTATAAAAGCTGCTCCTTTTTTGAGTTATTTTCAGTGTTGGAGCTAATTTCCTCAAATGTTAGGAGTGGTAATTACTGTTTTATAAGCTGCTGCATTGTTTTGGGAACTTTGGCGGGGAGAAAAGATCAAAACAATGACACTTTAAAAACGAGGAAGACAGTCAAAGGCAGTGACCATATGGGAAGTGATTTAAATGGAGAAAGAAACTTACACTGCTGTATTCCCCAGTAGTAACCTGCACAGCTGCTGCCTTTGCTGTTTGGTTTCAAGTATCTCAATGAGCTCATTGGAGTTCGTTCTAAGAAAAATAAACAAACAGTGAAATTTACAGCTGACCTTGGAGAAACCTGAGTGTGGAAGCTCACAGCAGGGGAGTGACTAAATGGCTTTAAAGTGTAACCTTACTGTTGTTCTTTTATAAATCTACAGTAGTGAGTAGAGTGAGTTCTTTTTCAATTATATGTTTTTATTGTGATCTGTCTCCTGATTAAACTCTTAAAAAAAAATAACAACATAAGTACTATGCTAGTCTGGAGCAGTGTTTCTAGAGCAGTAAGACTGTGCTATTTTCTGGGTCTGTAGATTGTTAAGATGCAAAGATGGCCTTTAGTTGTGCTCTTCCTGTCGGATGTGGGAGATTAAGTAGAGTTTCCATGTTACTCATGATTATGCCTGCAGAAGGTGTGTTTGGTTGCAAATCCTATCGGATCGCATGGATTGGTTGGAGCGGCAGTTAGAGGCAATGAGGAATTTACAGGATCTGGAGAGTGTGATGGATGACAGTTGCAGGGACGGGATAAACTGAAGATACAGTCAGGTAGATGGGTGACCTCCAGGAAAGGTAGAAGAGAGAGGCACGTCGTGCCGGGGTCTCCTGTTGCTATCCCCATCACAAACAAGTATGCTGTTTTGGAAAATGTAGGGGATGATGGACTCTCAAGGGAATGTAGCACTGACAGCCAGGTTTCTGGTATCAAGACTGGCTCTAATGTAACGAGGGATATGCCAGGTTCCAAGCGATCGATTGTGATGGTGGACTCTCTAGTCAGAGGCACAGAGACGATTCTGCGGCCGATAGCGAGACATCAGAATAGTGTGTTGGCTCCCTGGAGCCAGGATAAAAGATCCCGTGGAGAGGGTGCAGAATATTGTCAAAGCAGAGAGGAACCAGCAGGAGATCATTGCCGTTCATTCAAGTGTGTACATAGGAGAAAAGGATGAGATTCTGAGGAAAGAATATAGGAAGTTAGGCAGGAATTTAAAAAGTAGGCCCTCAAGGGTGGTAATATCTGGATTACTCCCAATGCAACAAGCCAGTGAGGGTAAGAATAGAAGGATAGAGCAGATGAATGCGTGGCTGAGGAGCTGGTGCAGGGGTGATGGATTCACATTTCTGGATCATTGGAATCTCTTCTGGGGTAGAAGTGACCTGTGTGAGAAGGACAGATTGGAATTGGAAAGGGGACTAATATACTGGCAGGGAGATTTGCTGCAGCTGCTCAGGAGGATTTAAACTAGTAAAAAGGAGGTGTGGGCAACAAGATAGATAGTGAGGAAAGAGGAGGAGAACGGTGAGGACTGTAGATGCTGGAAGCTAGAGTCAATAAATGTGGAGCTGGAAAAGTACAGCAGGTCTGACAGCATCCGAGGAGCAGGAAAGTCAGTGTTTTGGTTTGAAACTCTTTGTCAGGACTGGGGAGGGAGAGGGGAGCCCAGAAATAAATAGAGGCGGGAGGTGGGGCTTGCGGGGGTAGGTGGGATGGAGACAGGTGGATGCATGTCAGGGTTATTATGATTGGTCAATGGGAAGGGTGAAGCAAACAGGTGAGTTGGAAGATGGACAAGTTGGAGGTAGAGAGATTTTGAAGCTGGTGAAGTCAATATTCAGGCCATTAGGCTGTAAGCTGCCATGGCGAAACATCAGGTGTTGTTCCTCCAGTTTACGTTTGGCCTCACTCTGACAGTGGAGGAGGCCAAGGACGGACATGTCACCAGGGGAGTGGGAGGGGGAGTTAAAGCGGATGTCAACCGTTTGGTACAGTTGGGCAAAGGAGTAAGTCAAACAGACAGGGCAGGCAGGAACAAAGTAAAGAACCAGGTAGGACAGATAAATTAAACTGCATTTATTTCAATGCAAGGCAGATGAACTCAGGGCATGGTTGGAAACATGGGAGTGGGATATCATATCAATTACAAAGATGTGGCTCAGGGATAGTCAGAACTGGCAGCTTAAGGTTCCAGGGTGTAGATGCTATAGGAAAGATCGAAAGGGAGACGAGAGAGGAGGGGAAGTGGCATTTTTGATGAGGGATAACATTACAGTTGTATTTAGGGAGGATATTCCTGGGAATACATCCAGGGAATTTATTTGTGTGGAACTGAGAAATAAGAAAGAGATGATCACCTTATTGTGATTATACTTATAGACCCCAAAATAGTCAGTGGGAAATTGAGAAACAATTTTGTAAGGAGATCTCAGTTATCTGTGAGAATAATAGGGTGGTTATGGTAGGGAGTTTTAAACATAGTTCCAAACATAGACTGGGACTGGCATAGTGTTAAGTGCTTGGATGGAGAGGAATTTAAGTGTGTACAAGAAAATTTTCTGATTCAAATGTGGATGTAGAGAAGGTGCAAAACTTGACCTACTCTTGGGAAGTAAGGCAGGGCAGGTGACTGAGGTGTCAGTGGGGGAGCACTTTGGGGCTAGTGAGAATAATTGTATTAGTTTTAAAATAGTGATTTAAAAGGATAGACGGGATCTAAAAGTTAAAGTTCTAAATTGGCGGAAGGTCATTTTTGATGGTATTAGCAAGAACTTTCAAAAGTTGATTAAGGGTGGATGTTCGCAGGTAAATGGACAGCTGGAATATGGGAAGCCTTCAAAGATGAGATAACGAGAGTCCAGAGACAGTATGTTCCTGTTAGGGTGAAGGGCAAGGCTGGTAGGTGTAGGGAATGCTGGATGACTAGAGAAATAGAAATTTTGGTCAAGAATAAGAAGAAAGCACATGTCAGATGTAGACAGCAGAAAATGAGTGATTCCCTTAAAGAGTATAAAGGCAGTAGGAGTATACTGAAGAAGGAAATCAGGAGAGCAGAAAGGGGACATGAGATAGCTTTGGCAAATAGGGTTAGGGAGAATCCAAAGGGATTCTACAAATACATTAAGGACGAAAAGGTAACCAGGGAGAGAATAGGGCCCCTTAAAGATCAGTAAGGCAGCCTATGTGTGGAACTACAGCAGAAGGGGGAGATACAAAGCAAGTATTTTGCATCAGTGTTAACTGTGGAGAAGGATTTGGAAGAAAGGGAACGTGGGGAAATAAATAGTGACATGTTGAAAAATGTCCATATGACAAGAGGAGGAGGTGCTGAATGTCTTAAAACGCATAAAACTGGGTAAATCCCCGGACTCAAGCCCCCAATCTGTTCTAAAGTGGAAGTTGACCCCCCCCCCACCACCCCGACCTTGAGAACTAAAACCGAAATTCCCAAAGAGGAACCTCCCCTTGTAATTTGTAAAAGGAGTGTGAAAAGTGGTGTAACCTGCCTTTCAGCAACTTCTAGTGGTTAAATAAAGTAAATCCCTGACATTCACTTTAAATTCAACAAGTAACAACTAGATAGGATAGTGAAGAAGGCGTTTGGTGTGCTTGCCTTTATTGGTCAATGCATTGAATATAGGAATTGGGAGGTCATGTTGTGGCTGTACAGGACATTGGTGAGGCCACTAGAATACTGCATGCAGTTCTGGTCTCGCTGCTATAAGAAAGATGTTGTGAAATTTGAAAGGGTTCAGAAAAGATTTACAAGGATGTTGCAAGTGTTAGAGGTTTTGAGTTATAGTGAGAGGCTGAATAGACTGGGGTTATTTTCCCCGGAGCATCAGAGGCTGAGGGGTGACCTTATAGATGTTTATAAAATCATGAGGGACATGGATAGGGTAAATAGACAAGGTCTTTTACCCGGGGTGGGGGAGCCAAAACTGAAGGACAAAGGTTTAAGGTGAGAGGGGAAAGGTATAAAAAGGACTTAAGGGGCAACCTTTTCACGGAGAGGGTGGTGCGTGTATGGAATGAGCTGCCAGAGGAAGTGGTGGAGGCTGGTACAATTACAACATTTAAAAGGCATCTGGATGGGTATAAGGATTTAGAAGGATATGGGCCAAATGCTGGTAAATGGGACTAGATTTATTTAGGACAGCTGGTCAGCGTGAACACGTTGGACCAATGGGCCTGTTTCCATGCTGTATATCTCAATGACTCTATAACTCCAGTTAAAATGACAGGTTTTATTGGTCCGTGGAAATAATACACCTAAGAAGAAAGAATCCTTCTATCCTATTTTCAAAATTTCAGTGTACCTTCTTTGACTTTCTTCCCTTCTGCCTGTTCTTCTGGTTACTGGTTTTGCTTTATTATCCTAGAGTCCAGGTGTGTTGGCAGCAGTTGATGTCACATCTCAGAAGCACTTAGGAGAAAGGTTTCAAATCACTGGCTTCCCAACCCTCAAGTACTTTGAAAATACTGAAGAGAAATGGACACTTCCACATCTGCGGACCAAGGATAAGATCATCGAGTGGCTCCACAAGTATGTTGTTTACCTCGAACAAAATGCATTATTGCCTCTGCAGCATTTTATTTTAATGAATCCATGCTGAAGACTTGAGGCTTGCGTGCAGGGCACCTCAAAAGACAAGGCAGGTAGCACAGAAGATGACATGACAATTGGCAGATGGGTACCAGGCTTGTATTTGATGCATGATGTGCTGAAGTTACTTGGTCCGCGAAGGCATTTTGCCGGAAGAGCACTACATAAAATATTTCATGCCCAGGTAGATGCCCTAGATGGGTTTGAAAATAAAATCCATTTAACAAAGACAATCCTTTACACTTTAGCGTGCTGCTGTTGTAGCAAAGTAACGTGAAGGTGCTTCACAAGGACAATTATACAAGCAAAATGTGGGACCGACCCACTTAGTGAATTACTAGTACAGGTTAACAAAAGTATTAGCAAGGTTGGTTTTAAGGAGTGTCCTAAAGGAGGAAAGAGAATTGGGATTCAGTGGCTAAAGGCCCAGGTGATGAAGTAATGAAAATGATTAAAGAAAAAAAATTGCTGGAAAAACTCAGCAGTTCTGGCAGCATCTGTGGAAAGAAATCAGAGTTAACCTTTCAGCTCGAGTGACCCTTCCGCAGAACTGGTCAGTCGACCTGAAACGTTAACTCCGATTTCTCTTCAGAGATGCTGCCAGACCTGTTGGGCTTTTCTGGCAATATCTGTTCTTCCGGTTTTTAATGAAAATGAGGGCTGTGCAAGAAGCCAGAACTAGGGATAGCAAGAATGCATGACCGGAAGATGTTACAGAGATGGAGAGGGGTGAGGCTTTGGTGGCATTTAATAAAACGTGTGCAAAATTTTAAAGCAGTGTGGCTGAACTGGTAGTTGATGTTGTGCACATGAGGTGAGCGAATGGATTTGGGCAAGTTAGATTGCACAGGCAGTAGAATTTTGGGGGTGCTCAGTTTGACAGTTTGGGTGATTTGAGAGCATTGGAATTGTCATTGACCAGCCTTCATTCCCAACCCCAGTACACTGACCAGCATAGGTCTGTCATCCAGTAGTTCCACTCTGCTTTCCATATAGTTTTCCCAGTTGCTGATTGGCCTTGCTGGTTCGTGGGGTGATATCGACATGCTTTTGACTGTGATGAAATCGCTCCACTGAACAGCTCCAGTGAGCCTTCAGGCAAGGGACTGTCAGATGCAATGTCACTCACCAGGAACCACAGTGGAACTAATTACTTTTAATTTGACATTTTGATGAGAAAGGGTGAGGAGTGAATCCTGAATGCTTTAAACCTTTAATTAAATTGTGCAACAGGAAAGACAGGAGACTTGACCCAATCCATTTGGTTTTGTGGAAAGTGTATGGAAATTTCAGTCTCTTGGTATTTGGCAATCTCTGTTTCACCCTGTTCAGAAATCTGTGGGGGTTTTTTTGATCTATTAAAAGCATAACAAGAGTTACAGCTGGCTCGGAGAACTGTTTTATTAAAATCCCTGAGCAGCTTCTGGCAGGAAATCCAAATCCTACACTTGACATTTTCTACCTCTGTTGCTGAACATTGGAAGCATTTTATCATATCGAGCTGATGCTTATGGAAGCACTTACTGAATATACAATGAAAGTAATTTAAGGAGGAAATTGAATGAGCTTGAGAAAGTGTTTATTGCTAGTAGAATCCCAGGTATATATTTATTTGGATGATGGGGTTATTGTGAAAGAGATGGTACTGGAAAACCTTTGTGTTTTGCAATACTTTTCAAAAACCTCCCTGTTGGGTGTGATTGGATCAGATTCTACAGGAAATTCCCTTTACTTTGACCTCAAACAGTCTGGATCACCAGGCAGAGAACACCTGCCCACTAAGCACTAATGTAACTTCGGCTTTCCTTTACATAGTACCTTGAACTTAATTCAAGCATATCAAGGCACTTCACAGAAATAAAAAAATTGACGTTGAGCCAAAGGAGGAGATGTCACTTTCCCTACAACTCTCAGATATTTATACTGTTCCAGTTCTACCCCTTTGTGGACCCTGATTTGAATTGCTGTGACACCATTAGCCAAGACTTTCAATATTTGGACACCAAGATCTGGAGTCTTGCTCAATCTCTCTGTCTCCTTTGCGCTCGTCCCCTCTCTCCCTCCCACCCTGCCCCTCCCCCACCCCCACCCATCCACCCCCGTCCCCCCCTCCCCCACCCCGCTCTGAGGATGAATGCTGTTGCTCTTGAGTGCAGCGAAGGTTTACCAGGCTGATTCCAGGGACGGCAGTCTGGCGTATGAGGAGAGATTGACTTAGTTGGGATTGTTTTCGCTAGAGTTTAGACGAATCGGGGTGGGTTCTCCTAGAGAAGGAGAATATTCTAACAGAACTGGACAGGGAGGATGCAGGGAGGATGTTCCTGATGGTGGGTGTGTCCAGAATCAGGGGCCACAGTATGAGGATTCAGGGTAGACAATTTAGGACAGAGATGAGACATTTCTTCACCCAAAGAGTGGTGAGCCTGTGGAATTCATTACCACAGGAAGTAGTTGATGCCAAAACATTGAATGTATTCAAGAGGCGGCTAGATATAACACGTGGGGCAAATGGGATCAAAGGTTATGGGGAGAAAGCAGGATTAGGCTATTGAGTTGGATGATCAGTCATGATCGTGAAGAATGGCAGAGCAGGCTCGAAGGGCCAAATGGCTGCCACCTGCTCTTATCTTCTATGTTTCTAAGTCTCTGTCTCGCGCTATCACACTCGCACGCTCGTTCCCTCTTTCTCTCGCTCCCTCTCTCTCACCGCCTCAACCACCCTCCCCGAATCACCCCATGGTGCTGCTTAAAACCTACATCTTACCCCTTGTAAGACCTGCTAAGTGTTTAAATTTGTTTCAGAGCTCTGTGAAGGGTCATGGAGCATATTACTATCTTAAAAGTGTTATATAAACACAGGTTGTTGTTATTGTCTTAGGACAGGTGATCAAACACTTGCTAGGCAAGTTAAAGTAGATCATCAGAGGAAGAGAAAAATATGGTTAGGGTTTGGAATGAACAATTCCAGCGTTTGAATTTAAAGTAACTGAAGATATAACCATTTTGCCCAATTTCCATGTCAGGTGTGCTATGACTCTTTGACTGGTGATTTGGAGAATGTTTACTTGTAGGGAGAGATAGAAAATACCACACAGGGCTTGGTGTAAATGGAAGAGGAAAGTGAGATTAATAAAATAGCTCTTTTACAAAGGGCCAGCATACAATGTTAGATCTTCTAATACAGTCCACATACCGAACAGGATAAAACTAAAATTGCTTTACAGTTGGTGTTGATACAAAGAGGGTACAGTGGACTGGATTCAGATGCACTGGGTATGTTTATTTTAAACTGATTGTTCACTTGAATTGCTGTTTGTGCACTAGGCACTTATTCTGTATGCAGCTGAGTAGTTGGGATTAGAAAAAGAAAAACATGGTCTGTTTGACCTTGTTCAAAGTCAGTGATATTGTAAGTCTCAGTTACTCAATTATCCATTAATGAGTTGAAATAATTCCGATTGCTCTCGGAGCTGGTCTCAACAATATCTGGATCGCTATTGATGATGACAGTAATTGTTCATTTTCCGAGAGCTCCATTCTATACTGTTTGTAAGCATGTTGCATAATGAGATTTAATTGTCGCCTAACCGACCACCCCTCACACTATCAGCAATTCATCCTGGCAAAGTAGTTGATGGTGAAGGCATAATATTGGCTGGGAGATAGTAAGAACTGCAGATGCTCGAGTCAGAGATTACAGTGTGGAGCTTGAGGAACACAGCAGACCAGGCAGTATGGCAGAGGAGCAGGAAAGCTGACGTTTCTAGTCGGGACCCTTCTTCAGAAATGGGGAAGGGGAAGGGAGCTCAGAAATAAGTAGAGAGAGGAGGGTTGAGGCTAGGGTTGAAGGTAGGTGGGATGGTGATAGGTGAGTGCAAGTAGGGACTGGTGGGGATTGGTCAGTGAGGTGGGAAGGGTGGATAGGTGGGAGAGAACATGGACAAGTTGTGTCAGGTCAAGGGGCTGGGGTTGAGAGGGAGGGTTGGTCATGTGATGAGGCTGGGGTTGGGGAGATTTTGAAACTGGTGAAATCCACAGTTAGGCCATTTGGCTGTAGGCTCCCAAGGCAGAACATGAGGTGCTGCTCCTCCAGTTTCCAGGTGGCATCATTGTGACACAGGAAGAGGCCCAGGATGGACGTCACCCAGGGAGTGGGAGGGGATTGCGACCGGAAGGTGTTGTCATTTGTCACGAATGGAGCGCAGATGCTCTACAAAACAGTCTCCAAGCCTCCAATTGGTCTCACCGATGTAGAGGAGGCCACATCAGGAGCAGCGGATGCAGTAGACCATGTTGGCGGATGTGCAGGTGAACCTGTCTAATGAGGAAGGTTTGTTTTGTGCCTTGAATGGAGGTGAGGGGGGAGGTGTAGGGGCACGTGTAGCACTTCATGCAGTTGCAGGGAAAAGTGCCGGGGGTGATGGGGTTAGTGGGGAGTGTGGAGCAAACGAGGGAGCCATGCAAAGAGCAGTCCCTATGGAAGGCAGCTGGGGTGGGGGAGGAAAATATATCTTTGGTTGTGGAGTCAGATTGTAGGTGGCGGAAATGGCAGAGAATGATATGTTGGATGTAGGGGTTGGTGGGGTGATATGTGAGGACAAGGGGGATTCTGTCTTTACTTTTGTTGGGGGGAGAGGATGTGAGGGCAGAGGTGCGGGAAACTGGGATGGTGCATGCAAAACACAAATGTTATGTTGCAAACAAACCCAGCTTTCTTGCAGAAATAATTTGGCTTATGAAAAAGTTATAAATTTAACTATTCCACTTTCGCACAGGCGCCTAGAAAGTTTGAGAGAGGACATTCCAGAATACAAGGTGTGACTTAGACAGTGACCTAGCAGTGGATGAGGAGTAGTCTAGTGTTGGAAGAAACCTTGTAGAGCTGGAAGAGATCACTGGCAGAGGATGAACTGGAGCTGCGGTAGATTTCAACACCAAGGCTAGAGATCTTAAAGGTGGTTTTCCTGAAATTCACATTCATTAACTTTACTCTTTTCCACCATCTTGTCCTCACTGCCCCTCCATAGTCCTCAAGCTCCTCCACCACCTGAACAGTCCTGGGAAGAGCAGCAGACCAGTGTCACCCATCTCAGCGCTGAAGATTTTAAGGAGTTCATGAAGAAAAAGAAGCATGCCTTAGTCATGTTCTATGCACCTTGTAAGTTATCGTTTGTATACCTTTTAGATGTGGTGTTGAACTTTTAATGCTGTTCTGATTTTACGGCTCAGTCACAAAGCACCTTTTCCCACTTTAAACAATGGGCTGGAAGTGACTGGTTGTATTAATGAGGTTAATATTCGAAAGTACAGGACATTAATTATTAATATATTATATAAGCTGTTTAAGATGATTAATGGATTTGCTGGGGTAGATAAACTGTTCCCTAGGTAGGGAACTGACTGTCATGATCTTAAAATCATAGCCAGGAATGAGTGAGCTCCCCTCCCACAGCTGAGCGTGATAATTTTTTTTGTTTTGTAAGGGCATTGAGGGATATGTTACCAAGTGGGGAAATAGTTAAGGTACTTATTAGATGTGATGTGATTGGATGGTGAAGAGGCTGGCTGCCTTCCCCTGTTTCTGAGCTCTTAAACCTTGACAGATTTAGCCCTAATGCAGTGGCTGAAAGATGTATATAAATAATCAGCAGAATTACTCGTCCCTCCTATCTTGCATGGGAAAAGCCAAGACTCCATTCCATCCTGTCTCAGTCAAACTCACGGTAAGGACATCCTGAGCACGAGCGCATATGTCCTTATGTTTTTTGAGACTCGGTGCAGTTCATTTTCAGTCCTGAGTATCTTCCTCATTTGTGTAAGCAAAGCTGGTGTTTGAGGAAAGAGAGCCAAACATGCCCACAACAAAATGTCAGCCTAAAATTTTGGCTAATCGACTCACTGTGTTCATGCAGCTCTCAAAACAGAAGTTGGATTACTGCCTGTTTGAGGATGCAGGATAAATAGATGGTGGTGGGGGGTGCGGGGGCAGCAATATAGGGATGTAATGATTGAGATGTGAAGAAATAGGTTGGCAGGACGACCCACACAGCGTATAAATACCATCACAGACCAGTTGGGCCAGTAGTCTGTTTCTGTGCTTAAGTTTGATATCATTCCATGTAAGGTGTATGATCAGCCAGTACCATTGAAGTGGAGTGGAATTGCAGAATATGAGCCAAAATCCAAAATTGTCTTGGCTGTGATCAGGTATTTTTAATTCTGTCTCTGTTTTAGGGCACTACTGTTTTTAAAATTAGTTTTTGAATTTATCCATTCTTTCTTTTTATATTAAATTGCAGGATGTGAGCATCGCTCGCAAGGGCAAAATTTTTCTTCCCTCAGTCCTAATTGCCCTTAAAGTGGTGGTGAGCCAACTTTCTTGAATGGCTGCAGTCCATGTAGTTGGTGTAGGTGCACCCACAGTGCTGTTTTGACCCAGTAATTGACGGGACAGTGATATAGTTTAATGTTAGGGTGGTGAGCAGTTTGCAGTGGAACTTGCAGGTGGTGCAGTCCCTTGTACCTGCTGCCCTTGTCCTTCTAGGTGGCAGTGGTCACAGGTTGGAAAGTGCAGCTGAAGATGTCTTCGTAAGTGCTGCAGTGTGTCTTGTAGGTTGTGTGCTATGCTGCTACTCTGCACCAGTGATAGAGGGAATGAATGTTTGGTGTGGCAGATGGATTGTCAAACTAGCGGGCTGCTTGGTTTTGAATTAGGTTGAGGAAGTGATTGGGAACTGTACTCATTCAAATATATGAAGTGTATTCAATCAGACTCCTAACTAACATGTTTTAGGTGGTGGACTGGCTTTGAGATGAGTTACTCATTGCTGAATGTCCAACACTTGACCTGCTCCTAAAATTATGGTAGTTATGTGGCTGTTCTAGTTAAGTTTCTGATAGCTGGTGGCTCTCTGAATGAAAATATGCATCCTGTTTAAAGCATATTTAGTGTACAGTTTACTTTCAAAGAGGAACACAGCTGGATCAATACATTAGCAAATCACTGATGCAAAAGTGCTCCACTAATTCCGTGGTAATTTTCTGCAACAAAACAGAAATCACTGGAAAATCTCAGCAGGACTGGCAGCATCCACAGCTCTTTCAGTAATTTTCAGCAAGTCTACAGCCTCTGTATGACTAGAGGTTTTGTAGTGATAATGAGAATATTTGGTGAAAAAAAACCCAAAGAACTGCGGATGCTGGAAATCAGAAACGAAAACCGAAATTGCTAGAAAAACTCAGCATGTCTGGCAGCATCTGTGGAAACAAAGCACCGTTGATGTTTCAGATTCAGTGATCCATCTTCAGAACTGAATGTAGGTAGGAAAAACTTGGTGCATACACTGAAGATGGGGTGGAGAGAGGAGGGGAGAAGTAAATGATAGGTGGAGATGGAGCCCAGAGACACAGAATAGTGATTGGCAGAGAAAGGGTGAAGGTCAGCCTGGGAGAATGAACAGCTGCTAATGGGGACTGTTCATAGCTGACAATAGGTTACTTGTAGTAGCAGCCCATGCGATGAGTTGGGGTTGCAGTGGGAAATGGTGGGGCTCAGGCCCTAAAATTATTGAACTCGATATTGAGTCCTGAAGGCTACAGGGTCCCCAAGCAGAAAATGAGATACTGATCTTCCACCTTGGAATATTTGGCACATGTTTATATATGCGAGACTGTGTTTATTTTGGTACAGTTTAAAGTAGATGCTATCACTACATTCCTAGTGATTACGCTTGACAGGACATGGTAGTCTAATGTTACTGGAGATAAGCGAGTCCAGACTCTTCCTCTGTTTTTGCTAGTTAATCAAACTGTGCTCAGCAATTTACTGAGAAGGATTTCTAGGCCCAGGTTTTCCCATCCAAGGAAGACTTCTTTTGCTTTTCCACATGCTCTGATGGAGATGCCCGAAGTCCTAAGTACATGTCTCTACTGAAATATGGATTTTGACGTTCGTTTCCTTGGTAATAATAAAACAAATGTGAGATGGATGGCGCTTTCCCTGAATTACATTACACCTATTCACCTGGTGTCTCAGGTTATCAGATAATACAGTAACCTAAACTAGATATTCTTGTTAAAGTAAAGCTCCTCCGCCATCAGCAAGAAACAAACTTGTTACATGAACATATCTTGAGTATGCCATGAGTCGTCCTCTGGTCTGTTTCCGAGAATCAGTAAAATTTGGTGACTTTATTCTACCTTTGTGGTGCTTAGAGTTTTTTTTATTAATCATTGAGGATCACCCTGTCAGAATATTTGGTCATTTGACACAAAAAGGCAGTTGGATTGCTCTGTTTCAAGAAGGACGAACTGGTGTTGAGACCTGGGTATCCTTGTGCACCAGGTACTGAAAGTAAGTGCACAAGTGCAGCAGGCTGTAAAGAAGGCAAACTTATGTTGGCCTTCAGTGAGAGGATTCGAGTACAGGAACAAGAATATCTTGCTGCACTCATATGTATCTGAAAACCAGCAGAAGACTGAGGACAGCGTGGAATGAGGGAGCAATCAGGTTAGCCTCAGATTGTTTTCACGAAGTACGAGGCACAGGCTTAAGACCAAATAGCCTTCTATGTTGTAAATGTTTGTCTCTTGTCACTATGGTTGCACGAAGAAATAAAGTTAATTTTTAACTGAGGCTTTAGATTAAAGAAGCATGTCGAACAACACGCACACTATCAAGGAAAGCAGGTGTTTTAAATGCCTCCACTGCTCAAAATAATATCTACTTTTATGTGCAATTACATTATTAATATCTGTATTGACCACCCACCTGGTTGCCATTGGTATCTCTCTTCATAAAGAACAAGAACAAGAACAAAGAACAACACAGCACAGGAACAGGCCCTTCGGCCCTCTAAGCCTGCACCACCGCATTTTGCCTTTCTATGCTAAAACTCTCTTCACTTACGGGATCTGTCTCCCTCTATTCCCTTCCTATTCAAGTATTCACCCAGGAGCTTCTTGACTGATGCTATTGTGCCTTCTTCCACCACCATCTCTGGCAACACGTTCCAGGCACTCACTAGCCTTTGTGCAAAAACTTTCCCCCCTCGCATCTTGAACCTGTGTCCCCTAGTAATTGACCCTTCCACCCTGGAAAATAGTCTCATACTTTCCACTCTATATCCATGCTATTCACAATCTTTTAAACATCTGTTAGGTCACCCCTCAACCTCCTACTTTCCAGTGAAAACAAACCCAGTCTAGCCAGCCTTTCTTCATATCTAAAATCCCCCATACCAGGCAACATTCTGGTAAACCTTTTCTATACCCTCTCCAAAGCATCCACATCCTTCTGGTATTGTGGTGACCAGAACTTTTGCTATTTCTCCACAAGTCCCCCAGTGTCCACAAAGAGAGCTGTGTCAAGACTCTGTTTAAACGAGTGATAACGCACTGCAACGCCCCGGAGCTACGCAAAAACAAAGAGGAACACCTATGCAAAGCTTTTGCAAACAATAGGTATCCCAACAGCTTCGTCTGCCGATGCCTGGCAAATAAACAACACTGAGAAGACACTCTACGCCCCAACGCACTGGCCACCTTACCCTATATTAGAAACGCATCAAAACTGACTACAAGACTCCTACAACCTCTCGGAATAAGGATAGTACACAAACCAACAGCCACACTTCGCCAATTACTCTCAAAGACAAAAGACCCCATACCCACAATAAGCAGGATAAATGTGTGATATACAAAATACCATACAGCAACTGTGAGAAACACTACATAGGACAGAGGGGCAGGAAACTCACCACGAGGATACACGAACACCAACTCCCAGCAAAACGGCACTGCCAACTCTCCCTCGTTTCAATACACTCCAGCATAGAAGGACATAAGTTTAACTGGGACCATGTTATAGTACTTGGACAAGCAAAACAAAGACGAGCATGAGAAATCCTGGAGGCCTGGTTTTCAACTACTGGTGCAATAAACAGACATGTTGAAATAGATCCCATCTACATACCACTACGGTACAAAACCAGAAACAGGACTACCCACCATGACAGACTGGACCATGTAAATTCAGAGTGGGACAGAACAACAGCACTTTGATGGAGACTGGACAGCATTGAAGATGTCATCTAGAACGGAGACGAAACATTTGCGCAAAAATCAATCAGTTTGGCAAACCAACCCAACAAGAACCAT